AAGCTATATCGTACTATTTTTATACTGGGTGGTGGTGTCTCAAAATCCCAAATATGTTCTCAAACTTGAAAAGGCTATATATAATCTGTTGTACTGTGATTCCCCGAAAATAAGACCCCGTCTTATTTTCTTTTGGGCTCTGAAATAAGTGCTAGGGCTTACTTTTGGGGATGTCTTATTTTGAGTACTGCCACTGTGAGGCAGGGTGGTAGTGTAGCTGCCCCACGCGCCCCACACCAGTTTACCTCAGGGTGCCCACAGCCAGGCCATCCAAGCCCCTACAACTGCCTCACCTCATGCCATTGCTGGAAGAAGTGGGCCGGTGGCCACGTGGGCTCCTGCTATAAATGTCTGCTGGTGCTGCAAGGCAGTTGTTTGGTCATGGATGGCCTGCTGTGGGTACCCTGAGGTAAGCCAGTATGCTTGTGGGGCAGCTCCATGCCCCCTTGCCTCGCCTCATCTCATGTCGGGGGCACCGCAAGCAACCAGATGGAATGGGCAGCCAGCTGTACAGGGCTTATTTTGTGAGTAGGGCTTGGGAGCACACACAGAAAACATGTTAGGGTTTATTTTCAGGCTAGGTCTTATTTTCAGGGAAACCTGGTAGTATATAAAATATGATTGTATTATGCAATTCTCTTTGTGGGCTGCTCTTGAAGATCATTTGTAAGCTACAACTGGTCTGAAATGCAGTGGAGTGGTCAGTAATAAGCATGTCGTGGTACGGACATGTATCCCTGATGTTTTGCGAACAGTACAGAAGGCCAGTTGGCTTCTAAAGGAATTCAAGATGCTGGTTATCATTTACAAAGCCCTAGAGTCTGGCTACTTGAAGGACCATCTGTCTCTGTATATTTCTGCCCATCTAGTGAGAGTTAGAATATGCCAGGGCCCATCAATTAAATTTTGTGAGATCCGGGAAGTGTTCTTTGGAAGAAATGTCCATCTGGGTTCAGTTCCAAGTGGGAAGAAAAACACTGGAAACATGGAAGCTGCTTGGAAGGATGGTTTAAAGGTGAAGCAGAACCACCAAGCCCATGTGATTCTGGGTAGAAGACCACATGGAGTGGAGAGTGACATATATTTATACCCTATCTTGGGCCTTGCAAGAAATGTATCCTATTGGTTGTCAGACTCCCAGGGGGCTATGCTGGGGCCCAGCTATCCTTGTAGGCTGTCTGTGTCCCAGGCTTGGTTGAATCTTGCTGGGTGATGATGTAATGAAGAGGGTTGTGTTCTGAAAGGGTGTTGGGAAATTCCTATTATGGCTTAATGGCTTTGTCCTGGTTTGGATCTTGAGTGAGGGCTAATCCTATCACCCTGGAGCTGAACGCCTTTTGTCTTGTAGATAGGATGGCCCAGTCTTTCTGGGGTTATTAGCAAAGGAGTGGGGCTGCTTTCCAAGATCGTGTTTCTACTTTTCTCATCCAGGGAGGTATAATATTCTGCCTTTTTAATATTTCCTAGAATATTTCATTCTTTTAGGGGAAGGGTGGGTGCTAACTTCCTACAGCACCTTGTCAGTGATGGCTTTTCTGCAAATTATTAGCAGCCTCAGTTGCTATGAAGTTGGGTGGCCTCAAAATTGGAATTAATAAATACATAAATACTTGTGGCCAACATATGCAGTGATAGCCAGTAATTTAGATGGTTTTAAAATGGGACTGAAGAAATGTATGAAGAATAGAAATGCTGAGCTCCAGAATCCCTAGTTCTATCCATGAAATGCCAGTTGCTAGAGGAAGAGAATAACCTCTGAAGATCCTCCTTTCCCTCTGTGCTTGTGTTGCCCAAATGGAGCTAGCTGGGCACTGTGCTGGATTAGACATCTCATCGATCAGGATTCTTTTTGTGTTAACTCCTGCTAACACAAAGGGACAGGAAAGCATTCAGAAATCCATGCATTTTTAAGATGCTGTGGTTGATAACACTGATTTAGGGCAAGGTGCTGCTGTTTCAGAGACATTGTCCTGAAGTTCACTGTAACAGTTTTGAAGGGATACAGAATTGCCAAAAGATGTTAAGCAAGCATGCTGAACCATTTTATTCCCTCCTGAAGACTTTGAAGCAGCTTCCCCTAACCTAAAACAATCCAGGTGCGTTGCATTTCAGATCTCTCCTTATGCTGGACAATGACCATAATAAAAACTGGATTGGGTTGGATCAGCACCTCTCTACCACTGTGTATCGGTTAGGAAACATTTCCTAAGCAGAGTATCTTCCTCTGTTAAATTCCAGCTGTAGAAACCTTTCTATATAGCTCCTTTTATATTAAAACACAGAAAGGCTGCATAGCAGCTCATTTAAGTAAGCGCTTCAGGATTATATGGTTTTGATAGTTTTATCACAAAATGGTAAATTGTAATTTTTTAAAAAAATGATTTTTTTTCTCATCAGGCAGTGTAAAAATTAAGGCGTGCTTTGGAAATACTAAGACAGCCTTCTCAAATCAAGTCACTTGAACTCTGCACATGGTCAAGCATGTCCTTTACATAGTGAATGGAAACGTTAAAATCTGAATTCTTCTTCCCCAACGAATATGCTGGCTGCAGGTTACCAGCATCAGATCGGACAAAGCACTGTGGGAGATCTACAGGCAGCCTGCGTGATCAGGGGGTTGGACTAGATGACCTCCAAGGTCCCTTCCAACTCTGTTACTGTTACTGTTACTGCTACGCCCCTTTGCAGCAATACTGAACCGGCACACTGCTCCTTTAAAAACGCCCTTTCTTTATCATTCCGTCCCCTGCGGAGGCAGAACCTTTCTCTCCTGTCCACCAATCATCACTTGCAGCACGCAAGTATCGAAGAGATACAGAAAGGCTAAGTTTCATGAGGTTTGAAAACTTGAGGTTTCAAATGGGTTGCCTCTGTATATCGTGAGTTTGGCTGTGTGAATGAGTCGATAACCACTGCCGAACCCAAAGAGAATACCCGTATGTATCAACACAGCCAATTAGGAAGTGGGGTCTTTGATGCCGGAAATATTGTTGGAATAAAGTAAACGGAAGCGCGGTCTCTTTGCTTTGAGCCGCCTAACAGTCGAGAACCGCTTTTACCCAGAAATCTCCGCGGCGGCCTTTAGCTCTCATAGAGATAGATAAGTTAAGAGAAGACTTCCTCTTTTCTCTGAAAATGCTAGGGTTTTTCAAGGTTCCTACAGAGAAGCATTTTTAGGAGCAACTTCGAATTGAATAAAGAAATTCAAGTTTTTATAAAGCTAAAAGATTATGAAGTAATCTGGAGAGAAGCTCTTGATGTTTCAAATTCTGGTGATATTTCTTTCCTGTGAAATATCTGGAATAAATGTTTATCCTTATATCCTTATCTGACTTCAGAACTTTCAGAAAGCAGAAATTTGGGGAAGCTGCTCCAGTCTTGAGCCAACTCTCAAATTGCTATATACCATTTTATCAATCATTCTCTCTCCTAGAACAAAACTGGTGTTCATGACACTTAATGTTTTCATTAAGTCCACATCCACATCACACGTGGATGTGTTGTACTTTCAGGTACCATACTCTGACTGAAATGCCGTCAATAGCACTTAGACTTACATACCACTCCATTAGACAAGTTGTTTTTTATTTTGAGTTGCATTTCACCAATATAGTAAATACAAAATACAATAATCATAATAAATGTAATACATGGACTAAAAGATAAGGTAGCTGGACAGGTTGTCAAAGAAAGTACTAAAATGGTCTTAGACTATTTGTAAGATTATGATCAGGGGAAGAAAGTGGTCATTTGGCCACATGATTGAAAGAGGCTCAACCCACTAAGAGATATATTGATTTTAAACCAGACATATTTTTATTAGGGATCTTACCAGAGACATATCATAAAGAATTGCAATATTTAATTGTGAACCTTTTAACAGCAGCTAGAATTGTATTTGCAAAAAATTGGAAAGGAGAAAGGATACCTACTGATGAAGAAATTATTAAGAAAATGATGCACTGTGCTGAAATGAGTAAATTGACATTTGAAATAAGAGAGCAGGAAGATAAAACAATATTATTTGATATGGGATTCATTTTATCAATGGATGGGCAATAAAAAATGGAGATAAATATGAAATATGTGGATGCTGAGATAAATTAAGTGAATTTCTTTTTTTTATATGAAAATAACCCCAAAATAGTGATATTTTGAAGAGAGGAGGGAGCACAAAAGGATACAAACTGATCGATATACTGTCTGTAACTGTATGGAATGATGATGTTTTTATGTTTTATTCTTGTTTAAAAATAAAAAATTATTGGAGGAAAAAGAAAGAGAGGCTAAACCCAACTGGATGGCACTTAACAAAAAGGAACAACGATAACACAATAGCTTTGCTCTGCCTGGAAATAATATAACACGAAACCCAACTTACTCTCAGAAAGTAGCACATTAGTGTTTATATATTATATATTATATTATTAACACGAAACCCAACTTACTCTCAGAAACGTGCTACTTTCTGACAGTAAATTGGGTTTCGTGTTATATTATTTCCAGGCAGGGCAAAGCTATTGTGTCATCGTTGTTGTTCCTTCTTGTCAAGTGCCATCCAGTTGGGTTTAGCCTCTTTCAATCAAATGGCCAAATGACCACTTTCTCCCTTGAGTCTTTTCTCAAGCTGGCTGGGGGATTCTGGGAGTTGAAGTCCATGACATCTCCTCGGGATAAGGTTGGGAAACACTGCCCTACAGCGGGAGTGGGATGCAAAATTGGCACTGAAAAGCTTTCCAGCTCTAGCAAAAGTGCAGAATACTTCAGCTCGCACAATTAGGGAGGAAAGAGAGACATTGGAGCGAAGCATCTGAGGCATTTGAGGCGAGAGCCTTTGCTCCCCCCCCCTCTCTCTCTCTCTCCGGGGGCGGCTTAATTGCTCGTGGACCGCCTTTCCCACGGGGCGCGCCAAGGAAAAGCCCGGCTTCCCCTGGCAGCGCCCATTCATCAGCGCCGAGACGGAAGCTGCAGGGGGATCCCGGCGTGTGCCGTGCGTGGAAGGGCGCCTCTACCCTTTTCGCATCTCTGCGGCCGTGCCGCTGCCTGAGCGGGAGGCGAGCAGCGGAGCCTATGGAGGAGCCCGAGTATTTCGCAGCCGCCACGGCGGAGTGGGGCGATGACACCGACGGAGGAGCGGTGAGCGGACGGGAGGAGCGAACGGGGCGCCGCGGGGGTCGCTCTTGCCGGGCTGCGGGATGGGCAGAAGAGGCGCCAGGAGCGGCTCCTCTCAATCCTTCCCCCCCCCCCCCCCCGCCCACTTTTTCCCCGAGCCCCCCGGCGCGCACGCGCCCCGCACGGGTAGCTCGTACCCACCGAGGGAGCAAGCAAAAAAAAAAAAAAAAAAAGCACATTTTGTTGCAAGAAATCTGTGTAACAAAAACTTGCTTTTGCGCGCGCTCAATGTACGGGACGTGTTTTTTTCCGCGCTTCCTTGCAAAGTCAGCATCGGCTTTTTTATATATATACTATATATATAGTGTTTTTCTTCTAGCCAGGTTTTCCCTACGTAACCAAGGTTTTTTTGTAGCTCCAGCTCAGTAGAATCACATCTACTCAGTTCTGGGCTTTTTTCCTTTGTAACAGCTAGCAAGCTCTAACTGCTAGGTGGGAGACCCAAATAGATCCATTTCTAGCTCGTTTGCTTTCATCAGTAGACCACACCCATATCTTATGTATCCTCCCTGTAAAGGTACAATATCAATTTTCTTACTTCTTCGTAGGGTAATGGATCTATTTGGGTCTCCTACCTAGCAGTTAGAGCTTACTAGCTGTTAGAAAGGAAAAAAGCCCAGAACCGAGTAGATGTGATTCTACTGAGCTGGAGCTACAAAAAACCTTGGTTACGTAGGGAAAACCTGGCTAGAAGGAAAAACACACATAAACCCTACGAAGAAGTAAGAAAAATTGATATATATATATATATATATATATATATATACTATTTTCTTACTTTTCGTAGGTTTTATGTGTGTTTTTCTTTTAGCCAGGTTTTTCCTACATAACCAAGATTTTTTTTCTGCAGCCCTAGCTCAGTGGAGTCACATCCACTCGATTACTATATATATACTATATATATATATATAGTATGCCTATACCTGGCACACACGTTTACCATGTATTTTGCCCACCATGTATAGCTTATTGCCCATATGTGTAGCATATTTTGCATAGCGTGCACAGGCACGCCTGTAAAACATACGTGTGTATTTGTACTTGTGTGTATATTCTTGCAACAAATCACACAGGTTGGTTTTTTCCAGCAGCGAAACCAAGTGGGGGAAGCTTGATTTCCTTAACAATGGTGTGATTCATTTAATGGCGGTGATTTGCTTCACAGCCAAATAAAAGTTGTAAAATTGGGCATTAATGACCATCTTGTTTAAGCAACTGAAATTCTGATCCCAATTGTGCTGGTAAGTCAAGGGCAATCAGCAGTGTGATAAGGCTGTTTTTCCCTGCAGAAAGCCACCCCTTTTTCATTGAAGAGTCTTCCCGTATGGTCCTTTAGGAATTATAATTATAGCAGAACCCAATTGTTGTGGGTGTCCAAAGTCAACTTCCCGACAAGGTCCTTGAGGTTGGTCTTCTGAGAAAGTGTCTCGGAAAGTGGCAGCATGAAGATAAAGTTGGTTGATCTTGGGGAGGTGGGGGGGAACCAGGCCAGATCTGATCGAATGAGAGACAACTAGAAAATTCCAGCAATATTGTTTGGACTGGGAAATTAAAAGAATAGCAAACCCCTTTTGTTGATAAAGAAAACTGCTTCCCCGTGATCACATAATCACTAGCGTTGTCTCTTTTTTTCTTCTTTCTTTTTAACCCAAGGAAAAACATTTTAAAACACTCCAGACTTTCTACAACAATTCCTGCCTGGGGGCCCAATGAATCATTGTAGGTGGCCCTTATTTTGGCCAGGCTGTTGCAGTGTGTCCTCTGAAAGTTGTCTGGAAACAGCTACATCAAGTGTGGCATTTTTTTAAAAAAGACATTAATTTCAGATTTTGGTCCTGTGTAAATTCACTTAAACCCGAATCCCACTCTGAGGTTCAGAAGGGACCACCCTAAGCAAACAATATATAGGGTATAAGGTTCAATTTGGAGGGCCTCTTGGCCACGTTTTATGACTTTTGCCTAAAGTTTGTGTGACAACTTTTACTTTGCTTTTTTGTCAAAGCCATCTCAGCAAACAATTGGTTCATGTAATGACTATGGCAGGGGTGGGCAACTGTGGCCCTTTTACAACCTCTGGACTTCAACTCCCGGAATCCTGAGACAGCTTGGCTGTCTCAGGAATTCCGGGAGTTGAAGTCCAGAGGTTGTAAAAGGGCCACAGTTGCCCACCCCTGGACTATGGCATTCATTTAGCAGCTTCCACAAAAAAAGGTCATAAAATTGGATTGGTCACATGGGTGACCGGTTTTATCATGATTTATGACCGAAATGGGCAGGCTCCACTGCTGTTGTGAGTCAACCTCTACTGTTTCAGCCATTTTGACTTCTTGCAACCCCACCATAGCATGAGGATAGGCAGCCTTTGGTAGGTTGTTGATTTAAACTTGTCCACAACTACACATAGACGTTGATGCATATCTGTGCGGCAAAAGAGTTGATAATTATGTAAGTGTAGGTTGTAGATGATTGCAGATTGACCGATGCTCACACCTCCCAAATCTCAACGAAATGTGCTGAGATGAGCATCCTGCGTGCTGATTGGTTGATCCGACTTCCTTTTGGTGCTTTCTTCTGAGCGCCCCCTTAAATCTGCAGATTTACATGAGGAGAATGTATTGCAAGGTTGAGAAGGTTGGCCATTTCTATTCCTCCCCAATAATTTCAGCAGCCTAGCAAGGATAAAGTACTGGAAATCCCAAAGCTAAAACTTGAGACTACAAGTTGCCCTGGTCTACCATAACTTGAGGCATCCTAAGATACAGAAATCTGGCTGCCATTAGCATCTTTCTTTAAGACTCCGGAACCCCAGTTATGAAGTAGCTCCATGCTTAGGCTAATGTTGTTATCTGTTGCCACACCAAAGAAATCCAGAGTGGTGGTGAAAATAATATTGACAATTATAACTCTTCCAACCAGCAGGATGATGAATATGGAGGGGAAGATGATGCCGAGGTCCAGCAGGAATGCCTTCACAAATTTTCCACCCGAGATTACATCATGGAGCCCTCCATTTTTAATACTTTAAAGCGGTAAGTGCATATTAATTCAGGCATTGTGATTGGAAAGGGGGATTTAGTGTGGGTACAACAACTGGCTGAGGAAGTAACTCTTCTGCCTTGAGATCTGATATCTCTGATTTTCTGGGACAGTGTTTCATCCTTGGAGCTTTAAGATGGGGAATTCTGGGAATTGAAGTCCACAAAGCTGCCAGGGTTGACAAATGCTGCTCTAGGAATTTCTTAAATGAGGATTCTGCATCCTTTCACAGGTACTTCCAAGCAGGTGGTTCTCCAGAAAATGTGATTCAGCTCTTATCAGAGAATTACACCGCTGTGGCTCAGACAGTGAATCTTTTGGCTGAATGGCTTATTCAAACAGGTAATTGACTGTGGGGCTGCAGCTTTTTCTTCAATTAAGGCCCACAGCCGGAAAATACAAACCAGCTAAGCCATAATCTATGGCTGTATGGCTTAATACATCATCCCTGCCTGCATCTCCTCAGGCATTTTCTGGGCTTCCGAATTATAAATAAATCTTCTGTCTAAAAATGTGCCTTGATGAAAATTTTGGATTCCTAGTTCCTCACAGCAGGAATGCCTTTCCGCAATGTTAATATGTCAGAGAACAGAAAGGTAGACTTAGCGGATGATGTTAATACAAACCAACCAGTTATAGCATGCCTCAAATGACAAAACATGAGATCAACACATATATTTTCAGTTTTAGCTTCGTATCAGATACTTTAGATATATTTGTCTGTTCTTTGAATCCTGTTTGGTACAATAACTACACAACTCTTATGATTAAAAATTGTCTGTACACAACTGAGTACAGGTAGTCCTTGACTTACAACCATTCATTTAGTGCAGTTTTTCTCAACCTTGGTAGCTTGAAGATGGGTGGACTTCAACTCCCAGAATCCCCCAGCGAGCGCTGCTGGCTGGGGGATTCTGGGAGTTGAAGTCCACCCATCTTCAAGCTACCAAGGTTGGGAAACATTGATTTAGTGACTGTTCAAAGTTACAACAGCACTAAAAAAATGGGGGGGGGCTTATAGCCATTTCTCACATTTACCCATCCCTTTGGTCACATGATCAAAATTCAGTTGCTTGGCAACAGGAATGTACGTATGACAGTTGCACTGTCCCAGGATCATGGGATCACCCATTTGTGACTTTCCCAGCCAGCTTCTGGGTAAAGTAAAGTCAATGGGGGAAGCACGATTCACTTAATGAGCAAATGGTTAACTTAACAACTACAGTGATGTGCTTAACAACCGTGGCAAAAAAAAGTTGTAAAGTGAGGTATGACTCACTTAACAACTGCATTGCTTAGCAACCTTAACGTTGGGCTCAATTGTGGTCATATGTCGAGGACTACCTGTACCTAACATTTGAATATGTGCTACAAACATCATGTTAGAAATAGTGGTGGTGAGTCAAATTATTTTCAGAATCAACATATTCTAAAGCTGACTGCATGTTGAATTGCATTAAAGGACTACGCTCTTTTGCACAAAAGAATATTGTGAGGATTTTGAAGGTTTTGTTATGTGAAATCTGTAGTGAGCATTTCTTATTGCAGGCGCCGAGCCCATTCACGTCCAGGAAACCGTGGAAAACCATTTAAAAAGTTTGCTGATTAAACACTTCGATCCACGTAAAGCGGATTCCATTTTCACAGAGGAGGGAGAGGTAACTTGAAAAAACTTTATTCTGCCAAGTGGGGGTAACAGCACAGTCTCTCACTATCTCTCTCAAATTCAGAAAAGAACCTAACTGGAAACTCAGAAACTTTTGCTGTGTTTTGAGAGGGGACTTCCAGCACAACTTGTTCTCAAAACACACAGATTTCTCATTTATTTAACTGTTATTTTATCTTTCAAATCAGAGGTTTTTTTTCCAGGACGGCTGACAAAAACATTTCAAATTTAAATTAAAAATAGCAACTAAAAATACCAATAAGCAAATGTGATGAGTTTTAAGTAGCAAAAAGTAAGACAGCACAAATAAGAGGAAATATACCGAGTTCTGGTTCCTGGATGTTTTCTGAGCTGTTCAAAGTGATTCATTCCTGTCCATGGGGTAAAACCGACAGTGAACCTGTATAGCACCACTTCTTTCAAGGCAAGCAGCCCCCCCCCCCCCCCCCCCCCAAAAAAAACATGTGTGAGCAGCTTTCTCAGACTTTCCCATGTCGACATCAGTTGTGCTTTTGCATACAATTGAATAGAAATGCATCTACCTCTTTCGTGGGCTGGCAAACCTTGGAAGCATTCAGTACCTTATTAGTCTGGTTCTTACATATTGCCATTTGTACCTTATCTACTTCTTTTTTGCTTACATGCAAGTTATCTTCAAACCACATGCTTAATCTGCTCTCTGAAATAATCCATGTTTCGGCTTCACATAGTATTTTGAGCCACGTACTCACCAAGTGGGTTGAGTTTTGCTGAGTCACAGGTGTCCTTGGGAGGGCAAGTGACATCCTATGTACCTAAACTATCAAAAAAGTAACCAGGATTAAAATTCACCGAGCTTAGTATAATGTGTGACTGTATCTGCTTGGTCTTGACAAGACATGGCAGTGCATCACCTGACTTGGCCCTAGATGGTTTGTAAATACTCTGTAAAGTGAGTAGTAAAGAGTTCTTGAGAGAGTAAGCACTTGAGTAAGAGCCATGGTGGTGCAGTGGTTAGAGTGCAGTACTGCAGGCTACTTCTGCTGACTGCCTGCTGATTGCAATTTGGCAGTTCGAATCTCACCAGGCTCCACGTTGACTCAGCTTTCCATCCTTCCAAGGTGGGTAAAATGAGGACCCAGATTATTGGGAGCAATATGCTGACTCTGTAAACCGCTTAGATAGGGCTGTAAAACATTGTGAAGTGGTATATAAGTCTTAAATGCTATTGCTAAGCGCTATTGTGTCAATTTTGTGTTTTCTTTGGACACTTTTGAAGCTATTCTAAAAGCACGGGTTGGTTTTCTTGACTGCCCAGTCCATCTTGGTCTGTTGCTTTGGTTTTTGACAGACTCCAGCCTGGCTCGAGCAAATGATAGCACACACAACATGGCGAGACCTTTTTTACAAGCTGGCTGAAGCTCATCCAGACTGTCTCATGTTGAACTTCACTGTCAAGGTAAATACGGTTCTTTCATTCAGCTAGAAAGCTTGCCAGCTCTCTCCTGTTTTTTCATGCAAATTTGTAAGTGGATTGGGGAGGCTAACATGTTAGGAAGACAGTTGCAGGGTTGGTCTTTTGGGCATTATATGGCCGTGTTTGTGGTTGAATAAGATGCACACGAGATCGCCACGGGGAACGTGAGCTTCTCCGTTGTCATATTGCAAGAAGTTCATCCATGTATCTAACGATTGGAGAAACTCTTAGGAGCCAAACTATTTCTAGTTTCCAATCTATAATATTTGCTGTGAAATATGACCCCCGTGGAGTTGGTGGCAGGATCTAGCCAACCATGGCTGTAAAACAGAGTTGGATCTGCTTAGTTTGTGGCTGAGAGATCTTCTGGGGTTTCCAGGTTTTACAGAATGGACTGGGATTTTTTTTAAAAAAAGAAAATCCCCAAAGAAAGACAGTGGCAAATTACTTCTGCAATACCAAGAAAATTGTGTAGACTGACTTATATTCAATTTGAGTGTGTCTTTATTTCCTCCTCCTCCTCCTAATTCTTCTTATTCTACTAATTCTAATTCTTATAATTCTCCTCCTCCTGCTGAACCAGGAAGGAATCAAATTTTCAACTGTTTATTTCTTTATTTTCATCCCCTCGGTGCTGAAGCGGTCTCATTTCCCCTTCAGTCCTAGTTTGCATACTTAATTAAATAAAATGGTATTTGCGATAGTCATGAATGAATCCTCTTGGATAGCAAAACGGCTACTGTCTCAGTTGGAAATCCTCTGGTTGGTTGTAGCTTATCTCCGATGCTGGATACCAAGGGGAGATCACCAGTGTATCAACAGCTTGTCAGCAGTTGGAAGTTTTTTCTCGTGTACTGCGGACATCTCTGGCTACTATCTTAGATGGTGGAGAAGAAAATCTGGAGAAGAATTTACCGGAATTTGCTGTGAGTTTGAAGCCTTGTTTCCTCTTTTTGGGTGTGTGTGGGTTTTTTTTTTTTAAGGAAATGTCCAGTTCTTTAAAATACTTGCTGTGGAAAAAGTGCAAGGGAATGGTAACATTCTCGGCCTGTGGCTAGGTCAATGTTCTATGATGTCATAGCTACTTCTCTCTTCTTACGCTTGATATTCTCATCCACAAGCCCTCCACTAAGTTTTGTATTGCATGGGATAGGGATTTCCATCATTTTTCAGGCGGCTTCAACTGGCTGGAAACAGTGCCAAATTTTCAGCACTCGTAGTTCAAAGGCATTTAAATGAAATATGGTTTAGATGAAATTCTGAACTGTTTGGTGGTGTTTGTGTGTTCTTCTATAGACTGAAAAATGTAACTATCCCATAATATTAGACACCTTCATGTTTCTGAATGTTCTGTGACAATGTATTTGCAGAAAATGGTGTGCCATGGTGAGCACACGTATCTTTTTGCTCAAGCTATAATGTCCATGTTAGCGCAAGAAGAACAAGGGGGCTCTGCCGTGCGAAGAATCGCTCAAGAGGTCCAGCGATTTGCTCACGAAAAGTAAGATCTTGCTTCATTTCTTCCCCAGTTTAATTTATGGCCCTCCTTGGTTGCATGCCTAAGAATAATTCTAATCTAGAAAAAAGGAAGCCTGATTCAATTCTAAGCATGATCCCCAAATTAAATTTTGCTTGAAAATCGTATCATTCATCCAAGATGTTATGCCAAGCGCAGCATGTCATCAGAACAACATCAGGTGCACCACGATATCAATGTGGCAAATGTCACAGATCATGTACTTTCAAGGTGACATCGCTTGAGCCCCTATGTACGCACCCATGCCTGGCAGATTATTAAGTGTACAACTTACATTAGAATTGGTAATTGAGAAATACAAATTTCTAGAGCTTTTTCTGAGTTCTACTAGATTCTTTCATACTTCCACATCTCTTAGGTGCATTAGCATCTAAAACTTTACTATAAGACCTGCTTGTTCTAAATTGTCTTTTCGAAATGGGATTGTGCCCATGTTGTCCAGCTATTTAGCACAGTGTTTCTCAACCCATGGCAACTTTGAGACGTGTGTTCAATTCTCAGTACACCCCATCTAGTATATTGGCTGGAGAATTCTAGGAGTTGAAGTCCACGCATCTTCAAGTTGCCAAGATTGAGAATGTGATTTAGAGAGAATCTGCTTAAGGTCTCACCTGTGGGAGATAAGAGGGTGTGGACCAGAAGGCAAACCTTAATAGTGATCCCCCCCAAATTATAAACCCACAGCCTTGAGAAGTCTATACTTATCTCCTTTTCTTAGAACTTTTCAAAGAACATTAAAAACAAGGCAGTTTTAGCAGGCTTTTGGCTTGGAAATTGTAGGCAATCTGCAAAATTTAAACTATTATTATTTAATAATATTATTATTATCCAGTCTCTTAGATTGGGGCAATATATAAAAAATGGATGGATGGATGAACATAGGTTACATGCTGCATAAATCTGGTCTATTTAATGATAATAGTTGTGAGGTCCAAACCTCATGTAAGCAATTGAACCTCCTCTGCATTTTGTCCGTGCAACACAATTGATTCTGTTCGGCTCTTAATAACATGCCAAACATTTTTAGGCGATTGCTCATTAGGCCTCCACTATTATCGGTGATCTGTTACCTCTTTTTCTGAAGCTTTCCTAAAGCAAGCTTGCTCTGTCTCTTGTTCTTGCTTGATGTCCTGAAGAGGGCATGATGCCAGTCAGATCACCCTAGCGTTGGGCACTGCAGCTTCCTATCCCCGCGCCTGCCAAGCCCTCGGTGCCATGCTGTCGAAAGGAGCGCTGAATCCAGCAGACATCACAGTCCTCTTCAAGATGTTCACAAGCATGGATCCTCCTCCTGTAGAACTGGTTAGTAGCAGCCTCCCTTGGGGGAAAAAAACCCTAAACTTCTTCAAAGCTCCCCATCCTCACTCTCAGTTAAGAAGCAAAAGTGATTCAGATATGGTTCAGTAGCAGTGTTCTGACCTAGGCTTCCTGGGTCAGTAAAACACACAAGTAGTCCCAAATAGTTGTAAAGAGTCCTTCAGGATAAGGCTGATAATCACCCACCTTTATCTCCCTTGACACGCTGTCAAAGACCTAATTGGCAAAGCCATACGGAGTCTAGAATCAAACAGAGCTTCAGACTTTAAACTGAAGAGAATGAACAAACGTTGCTTCCTGCAAAGGCCCACGTGCCTTTGCTTCTCTTTTAAGTCTTATGGGAGGGGCCAATCATCTCCAAGCCCTACTCCCAAGTCATCCCCTTTGTTTTAATTGTTCTTGACTTCTGGAGGCTCTGGAGTCTGCACATAACTCCCCAATGGCCCCGGCCCCATCTCTGCCTCCAACGCAGACCCCTCATCTGGGCCTTCCCCAGACTCCAGGACTGGCCCAAGTTCCTCCCCAACCTCCTCACTGTCCAACTCTGCTGCCAGCTCCGTAGGTGGCCGGCGGACCACAACAAGCAGTTTCAAAGTATATGGTAGCTCTCTCAGAGTAGAAATGTTTATTTCTGAGGTTAGTTACTTTTTCTGCTGGGTAGCAGGGAGAAATATCTTAAGAGTTTCTCAGTCTTAGCAACTTTTAAGATAGATGGACTTTAACTCCAAGAATTTCCCAGCCAACTCTGGTATCCTTGGCAGACTGGGGAATTCTAGGAGTTGAAGTGCACCTAACTCTTAAAGTTGCCAATGTTGAGAAATGCTGGTCTAAGGAATGATCGTTGTCATTGTAATTTGAATTAGAGTCAAAGGAGATGTATGGGTCATCCTTATTTCTGATGCCCGAACCATCCAAGATGCAAGATGAAATCTACAGATGTATTCCACTCTCTCTACTTTTCAAGTCAGGAGTGCAATTCTGCCCTATTGTGCCAGAGCAGACAAGGTGATTTTCTTTCCTTGGTCCAACCCATTGCTTCAAAGGGTCTCTGGCTACCTGAGAGCTTTGGCCACCCAATTTTCTACCCATCTTTTGGCCTTTTCCTTTCATATATTGACACCCTGTTAGGGCATACATGCCTGTAATATTTGTGCATACAAAGGCAGCCTCCACCTATTGGATTTTAGCAGGACCTGTGTTGTAGGTATTGAAAAGTGTGATCCCATACTTATCTGTTGGCACTTATTTTATGGGACGTCGTCTTCATAAGACATCATTCCTGAAGAGCTGTATGAGCCTTTGTTGCCAAGGTTGACTCAGCCTTCCATCCTTCCGAGGTCAGTAAAATGAGGACTCAGATTGTTGGGGGCAATATGCTGACTCTCTAAACTGCTTAGAGAGGGCTATAAAGCATTGTAAAGCGGTATATAAGTGCTATTGGTACTGCTAAGGGGGACCAACATTTATCTTCATCTTGTTTTGTAACAGGATAATGTTACCATGTTCTGTAGACCCATCATTCCTCTTGTCTTTTGGATGCTTCAGGCATCTGTTGCAAGATTTTTCACAGTTATGATGGTTTGCAGTGTCCCGGGGGTCATGTGATCACCTTTTGCCACTTTCTGACAAGCAAACTCAGTGGGGGAAGCCAGATTCACTTAACAGCTGTGTTACAAACTTAAGAACTGCAGTTCTCCACTTAACAAGTGTGGCAAGAAAGGTCATAAAACAGAGCAAAATTCACTTAACAAACGTCTCACTTAGCAACAGAAATGTTGGGCTCAATTACAGTCATCGGTTGAGGACTGCCTGTATTAAGTGATACGGTCATGTGACATCATGCTTTGCAACCATATCGCTTAGTGACAGAAATTCCAATCCCAGTTGTGATAATAAATCTAGCACTACCTTTATCTTGGCCTTCACAAACTTTTAGATTTCAGTAGTTTTGTTTTGTTTTTTCTTTTGTAAGCAGGGAGTTGATTTGACTGAACTTTTATATGTTTTTAATAGAATAGTCTATTACGTATCAAGAGTCATAATCGAAACATAACACTTAATCATAGTTTTGAAATTCACCTTCTTGGAAATGAAAGTGTTTTGAGATGTAATCAGTGCTTTAAAAAAAAAAATCTGGTTTTCCGTAAGCCAGTGATATGTTTTTTGTTTCATTTCCCTACAGATTAGAGTTCCCGCTTTTTTAGATCTCTTTATGCTGTCACTGTTCAAGCCAGGAGCAAAAATCAATCAGGACCATAAGCACAAATACATCCACATTTTGGCCTATGCGGCTAGCGTGGTGGAAACATGGAAGAAGGTAAACTTGGGGTGGTTGAATGATGGTTTAGAAATAAATTGGTGCTTTGGAACAGGATAATAACTAGGTTACCGTATTTTTCAGAGTATAACACGCACCGGAGTATAACACGCAGCTTAGTTTTGGGGGAGGAAAATGGAGGGGGGGAGGAAATCTGCCTACCAGGGATTCATCTGGCTAGCGTCCTTAGTCTGGTCAGCTTCAGCACATTATCCCCTGCTTGGGGATAAAAAAACAGCTTCTAAAGCACAGCTGATCTTTGGAGAGAGAAGCAATGAGAAAACCAGGCAAAGCTTAGATTGCTTCACTCGCTAGCGCCTCATTAGGTCTGAAAAAAAGGTTCACAGCTGAGAGTCAGAGGGAGCAGGCAAAACAGGGAAGCGGAGATCGCTTCACTCCCTAGCACCCAAATTTTTGGCCTCTTTTAGTGTGTTATACTCCGAAAAATACAGTACTTTATGTGCTTGCATTATTTAGAATAAAACTGTATGCCTGGCTTCCAAATTTACAGAAATAGCTTTTGTGTTCTTTAACTGAAAGAAATCTTTGACTCAGGTAGTCTTAATTCTTAATAATATTAATATTATTATTAAGAATAATAATATTCTTAATAAATATTTTAAGTATAGCTTTTCACTGAACAACACTGAAGAAATAACACTTGGCTACAATGTAGTGTACAGCCTGTACAACAGTGTAAATGTGCTGTCCCCTCAAAATAACACAACACACAGCCATTAATGTCTAGATTGCTGGCAACAAAAGTGAGTACACCCCTAAGTGATAATGTCCAAATGTGGCCCAAAGTGTCAATATTTTGTGTGGCCACCATTATTTTCCGGCATTGCCTTAACCCTCTTGGGCATAGAGTTCACCAGAGCTTCACAGGTTGCCACTGGAGTCCTCTTCCACTCCTCCATGACGACATCACGGAGCTGGTGGATGTTAGAGACCTTGCGCACCTCCACCTTCCATTTCAGGATGCTCCACAAATGCTCAATAGGATTTTGGTCTGGAGACATACTTGGCCAGTCCATCACCTTTACCCTCAGCTTCTTTAGCAAGGCAGTGGTCGTTTTGGAGGTGTGTTTGGGGTCGTTATGATGTTGGAATACTGCCCTGCGGTTCAGTCTCCGAAGGGAAGGGATCATGCTCTGCTTCAGTATGTCACAGTATATACTGGCATTCATGGTTCCCTCAATCAACTGTAGCTCCCCAGTGCCGGCAGCACTCATGGAGCTCTAGACCATGACATTCCCACCACGATGCTTGGCTGTAGGCAAGACATACTTGTTTTTGTACTCCTCACCTGGTCGCCGCTGCCACACACGCTTGACACCATCTGAACCAAATAAGTTTATCTTGGTCTCATCGGACCACAGGACATGGTTCCAGGAATCCATGTCCTAAGTCTGCTTGTCTGCAGCAAACCGTTTGCAGGCTTTCTTCTGCACCATCTTTAGAAGAGGCTTCCTTCTGGGACGACAGCCCTACAGACCAAGTTGATGCAGCGTGCGGCATATGGTCTGAGCACTGACAGGCTGACCTCCCACCCCTTCTACCTCTGCAGCAATGCTGGCAGCACTCATAGGTCTATTTCCCAAAGCCAACTTCTGGATATGGCGCTGAGCACAGGCACTCAACTTCTTTGGTCGACCATGGCGAGGCCTGTTCTGAGTGGAACCTGTCCTGTTAAAGCGCTGTATGGTCTTGGCCACCATGCTGCAGCTCAGTTTCAGGGGCTTGGCAATCTTCTTATAGCCTAGGGCCCTAGGCCATCTTTATGAAAAAACAATTCGTTTTTTCAGATCCTCAGAGAGTTCATTGCCATGAGGTGCCATGTTGAACTTCCAGTGACCGATATGCGAGAGTGAGAGCGATAACACCAAATTTAACACATCTGCTCCCCCTTCACACCTGAGACCTTGTACCACTAACGAGTCACATGACACCAGGGAGAGAAAATGGCTACTTGGGCCCCATTTGGACATTATCACTTGGGGTGTACTCCCTTTTGTTGCCAGCAGTTTAGACATTAATGGCTGTGTGTTATGTTGTTTTGAGGGAACAACACATTTACACTGTTATACAAGCTGTATATTCACTACTTTACATTGTAGCCAAGTGTTATTTCTTCAGTGTTGTCCCATGAAAAGCTATACTTAAATATTTACAAAATGTGAGGGGGTGTACTCACTCCTGTGATATATTGTATGTATACAAGGGATTTTTGGAAGGGATTTTAAGGGTCATCTAGCCCAACCTTTTGCTATGTCCAGGAAAACCAGTTAAACCATCCATGAGAGCTGACTATCCACTCTCTTTTCCGAACCTTCTGATGGAGAATCCACAATTTCCATAGTCAGACTGTTCCACAAATCTGACCATCAGAAAGATTTTCCATAAATTGAAATGAAATCTAGGTTTCTGAGCTAGATCATAGGTAGGCCAATTAATAGATGAATACGTTTAACAATTTTAAACAAGCAAAGTCAATGGGGGAAATCAGATTCACTTAACAACCACGTGATTCACTTAGAAAGGTCATAAAATTAGTATGGCTCACTTAACAACTGCTTTGTTTAGCCACATAAATTCTGTCCCAATGTGGTCGTAAGTCGAGAACTGTCTAGTATCCAGTGAGTCTTCCATTCACTCAGACTCGGAAATATACATGCCTTTAAGAAAGATTCACTAAATAGAGCTCTGTGCCAATTCAGGTTTCAACAAGAATGTCCTTTTGTCTCCTGCACCTTATTTCAACATTTCTTAGAACAAGAGGGTGAGCATCAATAAAGATGAGCTCAAGTCAACTTCAAAAGCGGTTGAAACAGTTCACAATCTTTGCTGCAATGAGAATAAAGGCGCTTCGGAGCTTGTCGCAGAGCTGAGTACCCTTTATCAGTGCATCAGGTAAGCCTCGCCTTAGGACATGGTTTCTTCGGTTAAAAATGCAAAATTCTGTTTGCCTTACACAGAATATTAAGGAAGTGTACAATTTCTGCTTAAAGTTAAACTGGTTTTAAATCTGTGTGTGTGGAGAGCAAGCCTGAGAAACCTGCAGGGTCATCTGGATTACTCTTTCAGAGTCTCGTTGATCTGGGTTTGTGATAAAGGACAAAGAAAATTGAGTGTGCAACTGGAATAATGCTTGAAAAGTCTGGGGAAGGAAGAGAACTAAGCCCGGCCTTTGACTGATTCTAAATTTGATTCTGAAAAACATTATATGCTTAGCAACTGTAAGATTTATGCTGGGAGTATCTCAGGCAATAACTAATTGATTAATTAGTTCGGGTGTCAGCAACCTGCAGCTCCGGAGCTGCATGCAGCTCTTTGGGCCCTCTGCTGTGGCTCCCTGTCGGGTGATCCCACCACTGGCTGGCCCCACCCCTCGCCCTCCCCTCCCAGTCACTCCTCGCCTGGCCTGAGAAGGTAAGGACGATGGCGGGGGATGGAGAAGCGGCCGGGGCAGAGACAGAGAGATACAGAGAGAGATACAGAGGGAGGGGGGGAGAGAGGTTCCTGGTGTTTTTTAACAATCGATTCTCTGCCCTAATGACCGGCTGGGTAGGCATGGCTGGGGGGATGTCATGTGACTGGTGGAAGTGAGTGGCGTCAAGTTGGCCACGTCCTCCCAGGTTTTGTGGCTGCTGGTGTTTTCTGTGGGAAATGGGTTCAAATGGCTCTTTGAGTGCTAAAGTTTTCAGACCTCTGAATTAGTTGATGACTTAATTTCCCACAATGCCTCACAATGGAGACATTTCCTGCTATCAGGTAAACCATGTCCTGGTCCTACAGTATTTCATCTTTTTCTAATTGGTCTTTAAAGGCTGTTTTTGCACAGCTTGATAACCCTTGTCCCAAAGGTGCTTTTTTCAAAAAGCAACTGAACTTTGTTTTTCCTTGAAGACATTTCGCTTCTCATCCAAAAAGCTTCTTCAGTTTTCATCAAAGAAGCTTCTTCAGAACCGAAGAAGCTTCTTGGATGAGAAGCGAAATGTCTTCAAGGAAAAACAAAGACAGTTCAGTTGCCTTTTGAAACAAAGCATCTTTGGGACAACCATGACCTGCATGACTGAGAATCTCCATAGACTTGATAACGGGTAAAATGCTACCAGTTCAGACCGATTCTCCCGAACCGGTAGTAAAAAATGCTACCAGTTCAGGCGAACCAGTATTTCTGACGATCAGCTGGGCGACGATCAGCTGTGACGCACAATTTATATTTGCTAGAATCGTCAGATTTCCTGCTTTCTAGCTAATCTAAATCGCGCGGCACAGTGGATTCCCCCCCCCCCCACTTACCTTTGCAGACTCGTGAGGCTTCAAAATGTTCCTTTTTTAGCGCTGCACAGACACGCAAACCACGCGCTTGGTAGCAGACTCACAGAACCGGTAGCAGACTTCAGAGGATTTCACCGCTGCTCAATAACCCTTGCTTAACTCAGTTAACTTAAGCTTGTGTTCAATCCAAAAATGTAACTAGAAATTTATCTGAAGAGAGCCAGTTTGGTCTAGTGATTAAGGTTCCAGGCTAGAAACTAGGAGACTGAATTGTAATCCAGCCTTAGGCATGAAAGCCAGCTGGATGACTGGGCCAATTACCAGGAGATTGTGAGTGCTAGTCCCATTTTAGGCATAAAAGCTGGCTGGTCATTCTCTCTCAGACCACAATATCAGGCTTGGGTGACAAGCTGGTCAGTCAGTTTCTGTCACAACCAACAGATAAAAAGCAGAACCTGCACCTGAGCTAGGAAAAATAACTAGCTTTCTAAACACAGTTTTAAAGTTCAAGGAATGAGGAGAGGCCAGCCTCTCAACCTCATCCTCCTTCCCACCCAGCAGGCTGTTGAAATCTGCTGAAATGCAGTTATCTGGGTTCACACAATAACAGCCAGCCACAACTCAACCACATTTTATTCCAGCATACGAATCAAGCAAGTGGCTTCTTTTATAGGCCCTTGTTTTCTGTTTTCTCTAATTTCTCTGGGAATTTTTTCTCTTTTGGGGGAATTGTTTAATACCATTTTGCATTTTACGGTTTTCCGAGTTAAATTGCCAGTTTTCAGACTGAGTTAAAAAAAAAAACCTTGCACTGATCTGATTGGGAATAAAAACTAAATAAGGAACCTTATGATAATTGTTCTGATAATGTCCAACGAATAGTAGATCAACAACGATGTCATAGATATTGGCGGTACTTGCCTCAATTTGGCATGTCTTGCTCTGCTTCCTGCTCTCCTTAGATTTCCAGTTGTAGCCATGGGGGTATTGAAATGGGTTGACTGGACGGTGTCAGAACCCCGATATTTCCAGCTTCAGACAGATCACACTCCGGTACATTTGGCGCTCTTGGACGAGGTGAGGTTTTTGAGTTCTGCTGAGTGACGCCAGCCTAGTTTTATCTTTCATATATGTTTGCCATGATAAGATTTCCTTGCTGTCCTTTGGAACAGTGTTTCCCCCAGGGACCTGGATGGCCCCAATCTTTTGGGCAATTTTGTAAGACTTTGATGAGATGGTTGTTCCCCCGAACGATGAGGCTGGGAGGTTAATTCACTAACTACTGCTGAATTGGTTTATTTTGCTGTTTATTGACCCTGGTGTATGTCATACTATTATCATTACTAATGTTTTGGATCAGGTGAGTTACAGCCATTCCTTTAGCAACTGTTCAAAGTTGCGAAGGGCCTGAAAAAAGGTGATTGTTAACAACTGGTTATCACACTTAGGACTGTCACAGCTTCACAACAGTCATGTGATCAAAATTTGGGAATTTGGCAACCAGCATGTATTTAACAGTGGTTGCAGCATCCCTGGGTCATGTGATCACTGTTTCCTGTTGAGAAACGAAACCTTTTTCAGGCCACAGATCTAGAAATAAGTGGGGAAAAGACAACAAGTGGAAGTAGCAAATATTCCCTATCTGTTAAATACCATTTTTATTACATCAAGAGTTTCAGTTTGCAGGCTATTCTTGGAGGAAAATTATAGGTAAAATGAGGACCCGGTTTGTGGGGGCAATAAGCTGACTTCGTATAAAAAAGAACACCGCTGGGGGGGGGGCAAAGCCCTACTGAGCAGGTATATACAAAAGTATGAAGGCTATTGCTTAACACATTGTAAGCCACCCTGAGTCTCCGGAAAAGGGCGGCATATAAATCGAACCAATAAATAAATAAATAAATAGATAGATAGATAGATAGATAGATAAATAAATAAATAAATAAATAAATAAATAAATAAATAAATATCCGACTGCAAGAGCTTTATTTGTACCTTTGAAAGTTCTCTTTAAAAAACTTAATAGTAATCAGGTTTCACTGAATGGAAAAAAGTGAGATAGAAGTTATTCTCTTTCACTCTGTCTTTTTAATTCACAGATTTGTTTTCATATAATCTTTACAAAAGATTTTTCTGACTTGTAGACTGGAATATGCTAATATATTTCACAGTCTGATCCTGTAGCGTAAATCTGATTAAGGACCAAATTTTTGTATTTGCCAGAGGGCATAAATCCTTACTGGTCATCCAGCTTGATTGGTAACATTTCTAAATTTGGATTCACTGGCAATCGTATATATTCTGTATTTTAAGAATTCAGGAGTTCTTAATAAGTACAGGTAGTCCTCAACTTACAGCAAGAATTGAGGCCAAAATTTATGTAGCTAAGCGAGACAGTTGTTAAGTGAATTTTTCCCCATTTTACAACTTTTCTTGCCACAGTTGTTCAATGAATCACTGCAGTTGTTAAGTTAGTGACACGGTTGCTAAGTGAATCTGGTTTCCCCATTGACTTTGCTTGTCAGAAGGTCGCAAATGGGGATCACATGATCTTGGAACATTGCAACCGCCATAAATATGAGCCATTTGACAAGCGTCCAAATTTTGATCACATGACCTTGTGGATGCTACAGTCGTATGTATAAAAAATGGTCATAAATCATCTTTCAATGCCATTGTAACTTCGAACAGTCACTAAATGTATGATTGTAAGTCGAGCTCTACCTGTATTCTGCACTTTAATGTTTGTGTAAGGTTTGTGGTAAAATTCAAATTTTTTTACTACCAATTCTGTGGGCATGGTGTGGATTGGTGGGCTTGGCAGGGGAAGGATATTGCAAAATCCCCATTCCCTCCCCACTCCTGAGGGAAGGATGTTGCAAAATCTCCATTCCCACCCCACTCCAGGGGAAAGATACTGTAAAATCCCCATTCCCTCCCCACTTCTGGGGGAAGGATATTGCAAAATCTCCATTCCCACCCCACTCTGGGGCCAGCCAGAGGTGGTATTTGCCAGTTCTCCTAACTACTCAAAATTTCCGCTACCGGTTCTCCAGAACCTGTCAGAACCTGCTGGATTTCACCCCTGGTTTGTGCCTCGTCACAGTTGACTTATAATCAAGCTTGTGCATCAGTAGAAATGCAGATCTTACCTTTTGCTTTTTGCTCTGCAGATCAGCACCTGCCACCAACTACTTCATCCTCTAGTCTTGCAGCTTCTGGTCAAACTTTTTGAGACTGAGCACTCTCAGCTTGATGTCATGGAACAGGTGATGACAACTCAAAAATATGGGATTCTTGACTGTTGAGACTTTTGATGGGGCATCCTGAAGCTGATTAGCTGAAGAGCCAGGGTGGCGCAGTGGTTAGAATGCAGGATTTCAGGCTAATTCTGCTGACTGCCAGCAGTTCTTCAGTGTGATTCTCATGGGCTCAAGATTGACTCATCCTTCCGAGGTTGTTAAAAAGAACCCAGATTGTTGGGGCCAATACGCTGACTCTGTAAACCACTTAGAAAGAGCTGTAAAGTGCTATGAAGCAGTATATAAGTTCAATTGCTATTGCTATCATTTTATTAAGTTGCTGAAGTAACTTTCCTGCTTGTAAAATTATCATTCCTAAGGAGAGAAAAATATTGGGAATCCTTGAGTTCATACTCTTGAAAGATCCATTACAGAATGGATCTGTAGAAAGAATTCAGAATTATTTTTATTTAAGTCCAATCTTATTTGAAAGTCTATAATTAGTGCAATTGGCTAGGAAAATCATCATGTGTTAAAAAGCCTCTTTGTTCCTATACATTGATAAAGAAAGATGCATTCTGAGTATTCTCCACAGTTCAGTTGAATACCAAAGATGCTTCAGAAGAAAACTCCATATATTAAATTTCAATTCAATTTGCTGGTCATGCCCTTCGTTATGTAGTATTTAAAGAGTCCGGGTCCAAAACTGTAGGGAGTCAGAAGGGAAAAACCACTTTTTGTTCTGTTCTTTTACTTACTTCATTTTTCCATGTTGTGATATTTTTCTAATAGAAAACTAATAAGACTTCTCCGAATAACCTTACTAGCAAAACAAACACTGCAGCTATTTTCTTTACCAGTAGAGGGCACTGTGACACAGACTTTTCTTGCTCCCTCTACTGATCAAATAAAAAACACTGAATATTTTTTAAAAAATTTGGGAAGAAAGTCAGCAGAATAGGTTGAGCCAAAATACTTAGTGGTGGTGGTGATGATGATGATGATGATGATTTATTTGGCATATCATGAGAACATGACAAAAGAAAAGTAAACATATACACATATTCATAATAATGATGACGATATGATATGAATTCACTGGGATGCTTTCAATATCCAGGTCATTCCTCAAATCAACTTCCCGATGGAAAGAATGGATGTGATAGTTAAAGGGCTTGCAATGGCTCTGCAAAGCTTATGTTATCCCTTAAAACTCCAAAATCGCTGTATTAAAACAATCCTCAAAAAACTTTACAAACATTTTGGTCCTGTGTGCAGTATATTTGTTTCCACTTATGCCATAAACAGAGGAGAAAACTATTTTCTTACGGAGCCAAGAAAATAAATCCCATGAGGTAGTTCTCTGGATAGATTTTAGCTTTTATTTTTCACCTCTGTTGATGTAAGCATGCCAGAAATTACACGAGAATAATATTTTCTCCAGTATCAATAGAAATTGCTATACAGTGTCACGGACTTCTCTTTTCTCAGCTGGAGCTTAAGAAGACTCTTCTGGACAGAATGGTTCACTTGTTGAGCCGTGGCTATGTCCTGCCAGTGGTGAGCTATATCCGGAAATGCCTGGAGAAGTTGGACACAGATATATCTCTGATCAGATATTTTGTGACCGAGGTCAGTAAATATTTGGATAGGTTAAAGTTTTAAAATGCTGTTCAGATGCGTTAATTTGCACTGGTGTGGTGAAATGTAATCCAGATTTCCAGGAAGGAGGGGCTGCATTCCAGAGGACCAAGAGACAGCAAAGTTTAGATAGTTTGGTTGGAAGGTTCTTGGAATATATCTTTAACGATGCAAGCAGTTGCTTTAGTTTGGCAAGATTTATGTTTATAAGGAACAATAAAGGAAAACTGCCTAAGAAACGGGTGTCCAATCTTGGCAACTTTAAGACTTGTGAACTTCAACTCCCAGAATTCCCCAGTCAACCATGCTTGCTGGGGAATTCTGGGAGTAGAAGTCCACAGGTCTTAAAAATTGCCAAGGTTGGACATCACTTTCTTAAAAGAACTTCAGACTGTCTTTCTTGGGTTTTGGTATTTTAACAATACTGGCACTAATTCAGGGGTGAAATCCAGCAGGTTCTGGAGAACCGGTAGCGGAAATTTTGAGTAGTTCAGAGAACTGGCAAATGCCACCTCTGGCTGGCCCCAGAGTGGGGTAGGAATGGAGATTTTACAATATCCTTCCCCCAGGAGTGGGGAGGGAATGGAGATTTTGCAGTATCCTTCCCCTGTCACGCCCACCAAGCCACGCCCCAGAACCAGTAATAAAAAAATTTGAATTTCACCACTGCACTAATTTGTGCTCTCTGTGGGTCTGTTGCCATTTTTAAATTTTTCCTCCCCCTTGGGGAAGGAGGAGTGTGTGTGTGGGGGGGGGGGTTGTTGTATTTTATTGTGAGTTTTTATTTTATTGTGAGAGTGAGTGGGCAGTCATATAAGTTCTCCAAATAAATAAATAAAATGAATTTGATGGCAGGCTCCAAAAACCAAGAAACACACTGTTATAAAACTAAGAAATGCAATGTTATGACCATTGTAAATGTTATTTACTGTTCTCCATTCACTATTGTTTTTAAATTGTTTTCTTTTGTGCAGCAATTTATTTTCTAAATGTTTTAAAATAAAATTACTTCCCCCCCCAAAAAAGCAACAAAAATCACAATGAAGCTCACAGTCTTTTGTGCTTTTCTGATTTCACAGGTACTGGATGTGATTGCCCCTCCCTACACCTCTGACTTTGTGCAGCTTTTCCTTCCAATTTTGGAAAATGACAGCATTGCAGGAACCATTAAGACAGAAGGTGAACATGACCCAGTGACAGAGTTCATAGGTAAATCTTTCCGGCACTGCGTTTTTATTTCAGGTTTGCAACCTGTTTACATGCATGAACACACCCACACATCTGAAAGAATTTACCTCAAGAACCTCTGAGCAGAATCCCTCAGCACTGAAAAGGTCAGATGTTTCTATGAGCCTCATGTTTTCAGGGTGTTTGGACTGCAGGAAAACCTGCACAAAACACATTTCCATAGTAAAAAAAAAAAAAAGAAAGAAAGTCCAAGATGGGGGCCATGATGCTACAATTAAACTCTGCATGCAATGCACATTAAAAAGGGAAGACACTTCAGTCAAACATTCGTGGCTTCCATCTTGACTTTGATTGTGGAGACCCCTGAAGACATGTAAGGATCTTGAATTAAGGCTGAGCTGGTAGGAGGAGAAATGCGTTAGTCTAAGGCAGGGGGCTTCAAACTACGGCCCGCAGGCCGGATACGGCCCGCTAAAACCATTAATCCGGCCCGCGTGGGACCACAAGGCTGCCCCGCCTACATCGCCCCACCTACCTGCCAGCCCTCACCCACCTTCTGGAGGCCAAGGAGGCCAAAAGTGGGACACGCAGAGGCCAAAAATGCGCCTGTTTTTGACCCCCCAGCCAAGAGAGAGAGAGAGAGACACACACACACACAAACAGAGGTCCTTAAACACCCCCCCCCCAAGGCAGCTACATCCCTTCACTAACCACCTTTCCACCCCCAGGAGCATAACAAAGTTTTTGTGTATATTGTTTAATGGACTGCTAAATTGGCCACGACCACCCAGTCACATGACCACCTAGTCACGCCCACCCAGCCAGTCTGGCCCCCCAACAGTCTGAGGGACCGTGAATTGGCCCCCTGTTTAAAAAGTTTGAGGAGCCCTGGTCCAAGGTCTAAGATTTTTACAGTGTGGTCCTACCACCCTTGGAGACCCCCAGGACACTCTCAGGAATCCTGGAAAACAAAATCACTTGCAAGCCTACAATACTTAAAATTTCATCAAACATTTGTGAGATACAATAGCAACCGTGAACGGATCCCATTTTAATTTTGCGGTAAATTTATGATAGCTGTCCACTCTAGCAGACATTGGGATATATTATACTGTATGTGACTGTGGACAACCGGGGAATATTTTACAGGAATGGATTAAAGTGTTGAAGAATGCCTGCAGTCAGATCCTGCTTTCCATTTGAATCAAAAGATTTAGGCACATAAATTCTACTCCAAGTCAACTTGTCTTGTTTGTCTTCTTTAAAGCTCACTGCAAATCGAATTTCATCATGGTCAGCTGAAGTAAGGGTGAAACTCCACATCCAGAAGCCACTGGTGACCAGGCCCATTTCGTGTCGCATAAAGAAAATTCAAATGGTTTGCTGATAGTTTTCAGGTTAAGTAGGAACTCACACTGGACAGTTTTACTTGTGTAGAAAGCAATTATAGGCACAGATTGCATCAATACTTCAAACCTTGGTCCTCTTGAAGAAGGACTGAAAAGATGGCGTAGTTTCCCTGCTCCACGTATATGACCCAGTGAAGTATGGTAGCCATGGTATTCTCTAAGAAATTCATTGTTTAGTATATGACTGGTTACTTCTAGTAAGTAGAGCTGACATCGTTTTATGAATTTGTCTCTACTCTTGACAGTGTTCCAGTCAGTTTTGTAGACTGGAAAAGCAGTGTATTAATCTCTCGTACTTGCTTTCATTCTTGACAATCCTATAAACATCTGGTGAAAATATTTTATCAGATATGCCCCATTTGAAAATACTCTTTTGCAAACCTTCTCCAACCTGGGGACCCTTATATATGTTGGGTCTACAGATCACATCCTTTGGTGGATCCCCAGGCTGAATAAACCTCCTTACAATGTCTTTATTACATTGTAGCTGGTAAATCAACCCTCATAAGATGATTGTTGAGAAACAGACCTATGCTTAGCATCTGTTGCATTCAAAAAAAAAATTTTTTTTAAATCATTTGTGTATCACAAATGTTTATGTTTGTGAACCCTAGAAAAGAAATACAGGTATTGTTCTTTTAGGAGAAAATATTAACCATTATCAGTAAGTTTCATTACTTTGACAGAAATACATATGTTTGTTGTTACATTTCTCTAAATGCATAGCATATGCAGTAATGTATAACTTTTCAGATCTGTTTTCTTGCTACATATCAGATGAGTGAAAAGTATGACAGCTTGTAATTTTTAATAAATTTTCTTTTGGGTAAAAATTGCCGTGCCTGTGGAACATAGTCTTCAATTTGCAACGCAAACAATGACACATGGGAAAAATACTGAAAAGCTTCCGTATAGCTTTTAGTAAGTGGATAGAGAAATAGACATCAGTTTTCTTCATACATTGGCTGAAAAAACGTTGAACTGTAAGGTTACTGACTTTACTGGGTCTTATGAACCTAACCAAATGGAAATTCTCAGTCAGGAAACCCTATACCATTTCAGACAAACGGTTGTCCAATCTTTTCCTAAAAACTTCCAGTGTTGGAGAATTCACAACTTCCGGAGGCCAGTTGTTCCACTGGTTAATTGTTCTGTCAGAATTTTTTTCTTAGTTCTAGGTTGCTTCTCTCCTTGATTACTTTCCACCCATTGCTTCTTATCCTGCGCTCTACTCTTTGAGTAGAGTACCCAGCTTTTAGGGAGGTCTCTAGTGTACCTTGGTGAGAGAAGCAAGTGCTCCATGCTCCTTGGATGTTATATTGTACATGAAAATATTTGGCCAGAACTTGATTGCACTTATGGATAGTCCTCAACTTACAACAATAATGGAGCCTACCTTCTACAGTTCTTAAGTTGTAACAATTGTAAAATGGGTCGGTCATGTGACTGACCCAATTTTACATTTATTTATTTTTTTTTTTGCAGCAATCATCAAGCAAACAAATAATTCACCATTGGTGTGGTTTTGCAAAAAACTGGAAGAAACTCCTGGGTTTTTTGGCAAAATTATTGTAAAACACAGACATATGAACATGGGCCATAATTGTTCTGGAATTTTGGATCTAGGTCATAGGTCCACTTTTTCAGGTTGGTGGTTAGCCAAGCGCTACTTGTATAATATCTGGCCATTATCACTTGGCCTCTAGACACTGCTGCATTTGATATATATCCATGGCCATAAGGTATTTTGTTAAAATCTTGAAATATCAGCACTTTTGTGTTATATAGATTTATTAAGACTGCTCAGTAGCTTACAAAAGGGTAACGGCAAGTCTATGTTTAGATTAGAACAAAATCAACCAATATGATTAATCATTTTTTTTCTTTTATAAAACAACTTTATTGCAAGGATCTTATGAAGATTTGTCTATCAAGGACAATCTGCAAGCAACCTAGCCTGCATTTCCTTGCCTGTCAGCCTAGGGCCGTGATAGTGAACCTATGGCACGTGTGCCACAGGTGGCACACGTAGCCATAACGGTGGGCATGTGAGCTCAGCTCTGGCGTGCACACGCATGCTGGCCAGCTGATTTTTGGGCCTTCTGGGCCCACTAGAAGTAGAGAAACAGGCTGTTTCCTGCCTCTGGAGGGCCTCAGAAGGTGGTGGGGAAGGCCCGTTTTTCTCTCTCCCCAGGCTCCAGAGCCTTGCTAGGAGCTTGGGGAGGGCAAAAACAGTCTTCCCCACCCTCCCGGAAGCCCTCCAGAGCCAAAAACGGCCTGTTTACCAACTTCCGGTGCGTATGCGTGACCCCCCTCCCCCCCGCTCCTGGCACACAATGGCAAAAAGGTTAGCCATCACTGGCCTAGGATTCAGTCTATCCACTCACTACAGGGAGTAGGAAATTCGACATCCATATTAGTTTCAGATAATAAATAATAAAATAATTTAAGAAATCTGCCCCCAAACATTTCAAAAGAATTAAACATGGTTATTTGCATTATTTATTTATTTGATTTTATATCTATAGCTGCCCATCTCAAGTGAGTCTGGGTAGCGTACATCATAAAACATTAAAATAATTTAAAAGTACAAAATATGTATTGCACCAAGTAAAACTGCTACTGTGGATGTTAACACAGCCAGGAAATGGGGTCCTTAACACACTCGTTCTCCAAGCCTGGACACACAATTTCACAGTTGTGTGAAGGCCGACAGGGTTGGGATCATTCTGATACCTGAAGGGAGAATCTTCCGGAGGGCTGAGAAGGCACTTCTCATGGTTTCTGCCAGATGACATTCCTTGGCTAACAGGACCTGCAACATATCCAACCTGCCTGATTGAGTTGGATGGGTAGAAATGATTGGGAGAAGATGGTCCTGAAGGAACCCAGCCGCAAACCATGTAGGCTTCAAAGGTGATAATTGGTACCTTGAATTGCACTTGGAAACACACCGGTAACCAATGCTACTCGCAAAGCAGTGGTCGTGTATGTGTTGAAGGACACCCTTTACTCCCCATACAGCTGCATTCTCTACCAGTTGGAGCTTCAGAATGCTCTTCAAGGGCAGCCCCATGTAGAGCTCATTGCGGTAGTCCAGAAGAGAAGTCATGAGGGCATGAGTGACCATGAACAAAGCCTCCCAATCCAGACACGGGCACAACAGGCACATCACCCTATGGCGTGCAAAGGCCCTCCTGGCCATGGCTGCCACCTGCTTTTCTAGCAGAAGCTGTGAGTCCAAGTGCCACCACATTCAGGACTAGTGGTGGTAAAACCTTGTTACCGGAAGGCCCAAAACCACTCTATCTTATTTGGACCATTGTGCCCCATACAGACTCTTACAGCCTCCAAGCACCAAGACAAGAAATCTATGGCAGCCCAGAATGGAGATCGAAAGATTGTATTTTGATATCACAAACAGAACTGAGCCCTGGGGCACCCACAAAATAGGGGCTGTGGGCTACATCTTCCCCCTCTCCCAAAATCAACTGGAACTGACCCCAGAGGAGAACCACGCCAAAACAGTGCCACTCACCAGTCCAGAAGGATGCCATAATCGATGGTATTGAAAGGTGCTGAGATATGACTTTGATTCTATGCCTCCGGAATAGGACCTCCCCATCCCACTCCCAGCAGAGGTCATCTAAGAGCACATAGATGCAGTCTCACTCCCATATCCCGGCCTGAACCCTGACTAAAAAAAGTCAAGGTTAAATCACAGCTCACTTCCATTTGAAAAACAGTGCAAGGTTTTCTCAGCAGAATCAGTAAATTCATTTTGATAATTTATGCAAAATCTTTAATGGGCAACTCAGTTTAATTACAAGTCCGTATGTTGCCTACCAATCCTGCAGAAAGCAAATTTTCCCTTTCAAAAGTAAAAAAAAAAAAAAAACCTAGTTGAAAAAGTTCTTGCAAAAGAATTCAAGGTACGATGGGGTCTCCGTATGTGCACTGTTCTTCAACAGCCAGATTATAGTCCGCTCCTTTCCCACCTTTATATGCACTCGTCACAATGCGCAGCCATCCTTTTTCACCCTGGAATGACAAACACAGGCACATCACAAAAGAACTGTGGCCCAACCATCGTTCTCCCCCATAGCTTTGTTCAAAAATGCCACTTAAGCCTTGATTGTGTCTGGACTTGAGAAAAAGCTGCCAACAATACAATGGGGCAGGATCTGCCCCGCTGTTCACTTTTGACGGTGAGCTTGAATACCCAGATGAACGGGGCTCAGGGGTGAAATCCAGCAGGTTCTGGCAGGTTCTGGAGAACTGGTAGCAGAAATTTTGAGTAATTTGGAGAACCAGCAAATACCATCTCTGGCTGGCCCCAGAGTGGGGTGGGAATGAAGATTTTGCAGTATCCTTCCCCTGCCACGCCCACCAAGCCATGCCCACAGAACCGGTATTAAAAAAAATTGGATTTCACCACTGACTGGGATCAAGAACTCGCCTCCTGGGGCCTCCCTTGCTTTTGTGATGGGATGCAGTAAGGAAGGAGATATCAGGGAGGGCGGGGTTGCATTCCAGAAGAGTAAGAGGCAACTGAGTCCAGATCTTATGGTGTGAGAGAAAGAGGATGCAGACAGTCCCTCCCTAATAGTCCACAAAGAACACTGTAGAGTCCTCAGTCTGGCAAGAATTTGTCTATAGGTGTGAAACAATAAAGAACTCTGCTTGGAAGAATCCCCGTGTGCCATTCTTGGTGTTGGGCCTGACCACATTGAATCCGAATTGCATAGCTCTCCATGGCCACAACACCACCAGCATGGTTGTGAGGAAATCTGGTGTCCATGAGGACAGGGACATCATTCTGAAGGCCCTCTTTAAGCAACACAGGGTTAGCTCTGGCCATCTCTCATGGTAGCTTCTTTCAGTTTCAGTGCTTAGCATAGTAATGAGGAGCCCTGAGATTTGGTTGCCACTCAAGGGATAATATTGGCCTAAAGAGACCCATCCTCTGGCTCTACAGAAGTTCCTATATTCTAGCCCAGCCCATTAACCCTAGTTCCTCACTTTATATTTTCCATGCTCTTTTCATCAAAAGGCACTTGTGAGATTCAGAAGAACGTCTTTGTTACTTAAGGAATCATTTAATGCAACTAACACGGAGAAGAGTCCTGCAGGATTCATCTCTCCGGTTTCATGGGCAGCCCTGGGGAATTAATTAAAGCAGCTCTGATGTAAGGATTTTGTGGTCACAACTGCCATCTTCAGTTTTTGCACACTTATAATACACACACAGGGACGCAGTTGCTCAGTGGCTAAGACGCTGAGCTTGTCGATCGAAAGGCCGGCAGTTCAGCGGTTCGAATCCCTAGTGCCGCGTAACGGAGTGAGCTCCCGTTAATTGTCCCAGTTTCTGCCAACTTAGCAGTTTGAAAGCACGTAAAAAATGCAAGTAGAAATAGGGACCACTTTGGTGGGAAGGTAACGGTGCTCCATGCGCCTTCAGTGTTTATTCATGCCGGCCACATGACCACGGAGACGTCTTTGGACAGTGCTGGCTCTTTGGCTTAGAAAATGAGATGAGTACCACCCCCTAGAGTTGGGAACGACTAGCACATATGTGCGAGGGGAACCTTTACCTTGATACATACACACACCCATGCTTGTGGACATCCTGCTCCTTACCTATCTATAGCCCCACTGCTGGTTTCTATGCCATTTCTCATCAAGGAGACAAAAACTGGAGTTTTAGTGAGGTACTGAGATCACACACCAGCATGCCACGATGGAGACCAGATCAAATACTACAACTAATTTAATTTCATTTAAATTTGCTGTGCTTTGACTTTCTTGGCATGTATTTAAGCATTTCCTTCTTTTGTCACATTCAGAATTACTATTTGCTGAAAACTTTTGCAGGTTTCCATAGGTGACAACCAAGGGCTTGGTATAGTTTATGAAGATTAAAAACAACCTCTGCCCTTAAAGGAAACATACCACTCTAACAACCCTCAAAGCAGTGGTGAAATGTAAAATTTGTTACTATCAGTTCCGTGGGCGTGGCTTGGTGGGGGGTAATGTGACTGGGTGGGCGTGGCCAACTTTTTCTTTTTTTTTTTTTGCTTTTAAAAGCATTTTTTCTACAACCTCCTCGGCCAAAGAGGTTGTAAAAAAAATGCTTTTAAAAGCCTCTGACGATCCCAGCTGAGTTTCCTGATCAGCAGAGGCTTTTTTTTTCTTTTAAAAGCATTTTTTTTTTTGCTTTTAAAAGAAAAAAAAAGCCTCTGACAATCAGGCAACTCAGCTGGGATCATTAGAGCCTTTTAAAAGCATTTTTTTTACAACCTCCTTGGCCGAAGAAGTTTTAGAAAAAATGCTTTTAAAAGGCTCTGACGATCCCAGCTGAGCCATGTGATCATCAGAGGCTTATTTTTTTTTACTTTTAAAAGGATTTTTTTTACAACCTCTTCGGCCGAGGAGGTTTTAGAAAAAATGCTTTTAAAAGTTAAAAAAAAAGCCTCTGATGATCATGCAGCTCAGCTGGGTGGCGGGGGGAGACAGAGATTTTTGCTACCAGTTCTCCGAACCACCCGCTGTCATTGCTACCGAATCGGGCGATCCGGTCCGAACCAGGAGCATTTCACCCCTGCCTCAAAGGGTTTTTTTTCTTTAAAAGAAATATCTTGCTTCTACTTACCCACGGCTCGCCCCATGAGTTGCGGACAATCCAGTATTCGGTTCCATCTTCCACACCCCAACCGGCAACAGAGATAATGTGGTTGATGAAAGATGAAGAGTGATATTCAGTATAAATTCCTCCGGTATAGTTGTCCAGGCCTGGGGTAGCCATGATCCCACAACTGTTTAAATTACATGAAATTAAGAAGGTTAGCAAAGTAAACAAGGCTGAAATGTGTGCAGTTATCACAGAAGTGAAGAGTTTCCCAACTAGTATCCACATTTGCTGTGAACCAATCATGGATTTGAATACACCTAGGAGAGAAATTGAACTTGTACATTTCTAGTGAGATATAAGTTCTACCTCAGCCCATTATCAGGGGACTACACAGTCCTTCACGTATATCAGTGTTTCTCAACCTTGGCCTCTGGACGATGTGTGGACTTCAACTCCCAGAATTCCCCAGCCAGCAGAGCTGAAGTCCACACATCGTCCAGCGACCAAATGTTTCTTGAGAAACGCTGACATATATAGTCCATGAACTCCCTCAAAGTCCTAATGCTGTTTGGGGGGGGGGAGAGAAAATAAGCCAAATTCCTACCCCTCCAAGCCCCCACTAAACACTAATTCCAGACTCCACCTTTAGGGAGATAAATAAATAAAATAATGGGGGAAGAGGGGATTTTTCCAGCTGGTGGCAGAGGAATTCTGGGAGTTGAAGTCCACACATCTTTTTTTTAAATTTGATTTATATGCCGCCCTTCTCCGGAGACTCAGGGCGGCTTACAATGCATTAAGCAATAGCCTTCATACTTTTGCATATTTATACAAAGTCAGCTTATTGCCCCCACAAACTGAGTCCTCAATTTCCCTACCTTAGAAAGGATGGAAGGCTGAGTCAACCTTGAGCCTGGTGAGATTCGAACTTCCACCAGGCCCGTCTTAAAGTTGCTGAGGGTGGGAAACGTGGTTTTAAACAATTTCTTCTCCTCCAGTGAACCAACATTGCTATCCACACCTACGTACTTCAATCACATCACTTCAACTTGCCACATGAATCATTCTGAGCCATTAAAACCTATGTTCCCTCCCATACCTGATAGGTCCATTTGCATAGATTTCCGCCATCATTTTCTCTCGGCCGCTCACAGATCCATAATCTCCCACTTTCCAGAGGCTGTAATTTTTTATCACGTGGCATTCCCCGAAGGTGGTACACGTTCCGCATTGGTTAAATTTCTTGCAGTCTTCAAAAATAATTGGACAAGATAAATGGAAACAGCAGTTAATTTTCCCAGATAGCCTATTACAGGTCCTCGAATTATGACCACAGAAGTAATTTCTTTCTGTGCTGTTGTAACTTTGAACAATCACTACACAAATAGTTGTAAGTCAAGGACTACCTGCATTTATCTGCCATCTCAAATTACGAAATGAAGGTTCCTTGCAGAGCACCTGGGGGAATGCCTCATTGGTTTGCTTGCATTATTCTTATTCCACTTCCCATATATTTTCACTGAATAATGAAATGTGGGAATTATAAAACAAAATACAAAATTGGCAAGCATAAAATGATATTTTAAACAAATTAATTTCTTCCCAAATTTTTTTTAAAAGGTTTGTGTCATATAATAATTTTCAAAATAAAACCGTCATCAAAATTCTTTCCAAAAGAGGAGAGATAGAAGTCTGCTTCACACTCCATGGGAAGAGAGCTCCACAACGGGGAAGTTGTGGGAGAGAAGATCCTATGATCCACTGATTGGACTTTAGGCAACGGTGGAAAAGAGAGTGAGACTTTCAATGCAAATCTGAAGGCACATTTTGCTAAGCGAGGCTAATATGGATTAGAGTCCTTTTTTTTAGTGCAAACTGTGAATTAAAAAATTATGAATGCATTTTATCTCAGCAATAAAAGAATTCTTGGTTTAAAGCTGACTGCTCTCCTTTTAGCCACAGTCAAATATCTGTAATTTGGAAGTAACACATTTATAAAGGCAATTATAAGTTTTTAATGAAACAATTATCAAAACTTTTAGATGTAATTAGACAATCTGTGGCCCATTGGATCATCATTTCAAAGATATTTCCTTACCTAAAGAGAGAAACACAATAACCTGGGACGGTCAAAAAACAGCAGTGGGAGCAAAAGCAACTGAATTTATTCTAAATTCATTATGAAGCAGCTCAACATATGTTCAATGTTTTATGTGCTTGAAGGCCAATTTTGTGATCAGACTGGCTACATTTGATGGATGCAAACTAGTTCCAAGCAATCTGAAAGGGGTTTGTTTAAATAACATGGGTATTTGGGAGCTAACAGCCTGTGGGGCTCAACCTTTGGGGCTCTATTACCAAAGCTGCTCAATTTCCTTTTCCAACATCAATAGTATACAGTTAATTTTTTTCAATGCCTTTTAACACTGCTGCCTTAATGTGCTGGGTGGGTAGAGAGGACAGAAGTTGCATTCCAAGATGTTGGCAGACTATCTTGTCGGATAAGACATTGTGAAATTTACAACTTTTGCCAAATTGGCAAAAATTGGGGTGATCGTTATTACCATTCCTTAGAAGTTACAATCACAGGCTCATGTCATTAAACGAGGCATGTAAGCTAATAAATGTTTGCAGCCATTGCAAGGCCAATACGAATGGTGGATGGTTGAAATTCCCTTCCCTTTTTTGGAGCCCACCTCATACACACTTTGGTGCTCTGATCATACACACACCTTGGTCTTTAGCTTGATAATTGTTGCATGTTTCATCCGGGATGCCGTGTTCATGAGCATATTGCCACACGCCACTGTCGTCCCCTCCTTCACAAGATCCAGCATTGGCACAGTCAATCACATTTTGAACAGAGAGATACGCTGAGGGCCAGGCACCTTTCTTCTTGATATTTATGCGATCTAAGAGAAACAAACTTTGAAAGTAACAAAGCTGCAACCCTTCAAAACCACAGACTGAGTTCCCACAACTTGCTAAGGTAAAATATTTTTCTTTGAGATCCTTAGTGATCTCTGAGCTTGGCTGTTTTCTTGCAAATGTTTTATTACCCAATTAGGTAACATCATCGGTGCATATTTTTCTTTGATTTGACTGTGGCTTGGTGTGTTTTCTGAATTCACCCGTGGTTTGTGGTTTCCTAGGTCAGGCTAACCCAGACCACTTTTATTGTGATTTATTTGCAATCTATAATACAGCAAGCCATGACTTAATTCAAACCTAATCATGAAGTACAGATTGTCCAGGTCTGATTTATGTGATATCCTTTCTCTGGAGTAGGGTGGGAATGGGGATTTTGCAGTATCCTTCCCCTGGAGTGGGGTGGGAATGGAGATTTTGCAGTATCCTTCCCCTGGAGTGGGGTGGGAATGGGGATTTTGCAGTATCCTTCCCCTTGAGTGGGGTGGGAATGGAGATTTTGCAGGATCCTTCCACACCCACCAAGCCGCACCACGCCCACCAGGCCACGCTCACAGAACCAGTAGGGAAAAATTTTGAATTTCACCCCTGAAGTATTCCCTACCTGCTAGAGCACTCGTGCTGCCATGAGCCCAGCAGGATCCGCAGTATTGGGGGATGTGTTGGTTTCGTGTGGTGCTCGCATAATTGACTCCATCTCTGCTTCTCCAATCCCAGCTCTTGGGCAGCTTAGAGATATCCAAATATTCGTGCGGACGAGGATAGGTTCTTTTGGGGGGGGGGAGAATAATAAGGAAAGTTAACTTTCTGTGAGCAAAGGCAAGAGGGTTATTTCTCAGTGCTTGCTCTATTTATAACCAAGTCTATCCTAGTCTGAACAGCCTATATCCGTGATGGCGAACCTATGGCACGCGTGCCACAGGTGGCACACAGAGCCATATCTGTGGGCACGCAAGCGTTGCCCTAGCTCAGCTCCAGCACACAATGGCCTGTTGATTTTTGGGCCTTCCAGGCCCACCCGAAGTCAGGAAACGGGCCGTTTCTGGCCTCCAGAGGGCCTCGGGTGGGGAGGCTGTTTTCACCCTCCCCAGGTTCCAAGAAAGCCTCTGGAGCCTGGGGAGGGTGTAAAACAGGCCTACTGGGCCCACCAGTAACCTTTTTGCCGTCGCGTGCCAAAAGCGGCGGGAGTGCAGGGGATCGCGTGTGTGTGTGTGTGTGTGTGTGTGTGTGTGTGTGTGTGTGTGTGGTGCATTGAATTATGGGTGTGGGCACATGTGTGCGCAACCCGTCCCCTGCATTCCCCCCGCTTTTGGCATGTGATGGCAAAAAGGCTAGCCATCGCTGGCCTATATAATTCCCACTTCATTTGATTCACTGAGAGTTTGTGAAATAACTCAGACAGACAGGAAGTGACTTTTATCACGAGATGCCTTTCTTCCTCAGGATTCTGATGACCTCAACTACTTTTTTTTTTTTTTAATTTGATTTATATGCCGCCCTTCTCCGGAGACTCAGGGCGGCTTACAGTGCGTTAAGCAATAGCCTTCATACTTTTGTATATTTTTTATACAAAGTCAGCTTATTGCCCCCACAAACTGGGTCCTCAATTTACCTACCTTAGAAAGGATGGAAGGCTGAGTCAACCTTGAGCCTGACGAGATTCGATCTTACTTTAATTGCAGACAGCTGGTGTTAAATTACAGTGCTCTGTCTGTTGAGCTCTCCAGGCTCTTTACCTTAGGCAGGGAGGAAGTGACTTTTATCACGAGATGCCTTTCGTCCTCAGGATTCTGATGACCTCAACTACTTTCTAAAGTTCTCAGATGAACTTTGTGCTCCTGCCTGTTTTGCAAAACTCCAGAAGGGGGAGGGAAACATCTCGGGACAGGCACAATGTTAGCATATCAACATTTGCAAAGGGATAGAAACGGGAGGGGTCGCCTTCCCAACTGGCCCATTCCATGTTTTGAATTATATGACCCATATAATACCCAGCAGCCATGCTGGCTGAGAAAGATAGGTAATCTAGCTTATTATCCAGAGGAGGAGAACAAGGTTACACAATCAAAATTCAGATGCTTTGGCAACTGTCTTCTATTTATGTATAAACAAGCTGTAATTGCATTGTGTGTCATCAACAGTGTGCAACCCAGAAGGACCAACGACGGGCAAATCTATGTTTTATGGAAAAAAGCAGAACCCCAAGGAGACCAAGCCTCTTTGGTAGACCCAGGGCACTTGGCAGATCTTCGAGAAGGATGTCCTCTTTTGAGAAAGCTAGTGTAGGAAATTCTAGGGTAGTGTTTCTCAACCTTGGTAGCTTGAAGATGGGTGTACTTCAACTCCCAGAATCCCCCAGCCAGCAGCGCTGGCTGGGGGATTCTGGGAGTTGAAGTCCACCCATCTTCAAGCTTCCAAGTTTGAGAAACACTGTAATCTAGGGTGTGCCTGATTTGCATTCTGATGATTCCCATGAATTAGCAGTTTCTTAGATATCCCACTTCTCTATTTCTGTTCTCCTGAATTATTACATAGTCCTCGACTTATTCATTTAGTGACTGAAGTTACAACGGCACTTAAAAACATGACCGATGACTGTTTTTCACACTTATGACCACAGCAGCATCCCCATAGTCACACGATCAAAATTCAGATGCTTTGGCAACTGTCTTCTATTTATGACGGTTGCAGGATCCTGGGGTCATGTGATCCCGTTGTGATCTTTCGACAAGCAAACTCAGTGGGGAAGAAGCCAGATTCACATCACAACTAGGTTACTAACTTTAACCACTTCAGTGATTTACCTAGCAACCGGGTCAAGAAAGGTCGTAAAACGTGGCAAAATTCACTTAACTTTCCTTTTCCAACAGATATTTTGGGCTCTATTCTGGTCATAAATTGAGGACTATCTGTACTGTAAAGAGAATTAAATGCTGAACACCATCATCAACAAAGGACAAAACGATGTAACCTGGTATTACTCTGTGGAATTGGGATCGTAGAAACACCCAGGAGCATAGAAGAGTTCAGAGGCAGATGCATAAATAAATGTCTTGAACGTATTTATTCATATGATAAAGCATATTAACTATGTACAACAGAGATCAAGTCTCATGAGGAACAAACATGAAGAGAGAGAGATGGAGAGAGCGTGGTGGAAAAGCTTGGAGGGGGTTTTATACTCAGGGTAAGCCCCTCCTTTCCACACAGGGGTGGAGACACTCTCTGCCTCCACTGGTGTCTATATGACACATGTGCCAATGGCTTGCAAATACTTGACATACTCCATGCCTGAAGATCAGATGCTAGTCTAAAATCTCAGAGTCTTTTCTATCTCCTGCTTAGGCTGACTATCCCCCTATCCTTATTCAAGAGACAGATGGACCCTGCTAAAACCTTCTGTCTGGGGTATCTCCATTAGGTTGACTTCAGCAGTTTCCAGACCACGAATGAAAGTCAGCACACCTATTGAAGTAGCTTTTCCTTCCATATTTAGCTATCAACCAAGGGCTCAGCCTCAAGATATATACAGTTATTCCCTATTAGCTGGAGGGAAGTAAGGCGACGACACTGATCTGGAACAAGGGGCAAGAGAACCAATTTCAGGCTGGATAGGGTTCCCCCCCCCCCCCCCGACAGCAAGGATTGGTTGAGAGAACTATAAACTGGAGGTGGAGATGTTGGAAATGTCACCAGTTGCCAGGTTCATATTATCATATGTGGTGGACATGCTCAGAAGCTAAATGTCAAGTTTCCGAAAGATGCCCTAATTAATTCATGAGCCATGATCCAAACTTCAAAGGAAATATAGTGATTTATTAGGAGCAACATTTCGGCAATACTCGGATGCAGTCAGGACTGATCCCACGTAGATTTACGTTCTCCTATGACCCTGTCTATCCCTTCCCCCCTGGCCATGTCATAAATCACATTCTCCAATTAGCCACTTTGGCTGGCTGTGAAACCTAACACCCTCCTTCTGATTGTGGTCAGAAAAATGTATGGAATTCACTTCAGTTCTCCCTCCCTCCTGCTCATGACAACTTGAAAGCTTTGCAAGTTGACACTAAAAATTATTGGAATAAAATTAAGATATGGCTGGAAGAAATGATACAACAACATATTGATTTAAAACCAGAGCTGTTCCTACTGGGTATCCTCCTAGAGAAAATTAGCAAAGAAAATATCTATTTGATTATACATGTAATAACAGTTGCAAGGATTGTTTATGCACATAATTGGAAAGCAGAGAAAATACCTTTGGAAGGAGAAGTAATTAAAAAAAAATTAGATTGTGCAGAAATGAATAGATTAACTTTGATGATTAAAGAAAGAGAGGATTCAGAATACTTTAAGATATGGAATCAATTTTACCATTGTTTGGAAAAGAGATACAAATAAGTAAATCAATAGTTATGTATAAAAATGCTATAATTAGAATATTGTTAGTGAAGAATTGTTGTAATGGACTTGGAGAGAATGAAGATAGATGAAACAACAAAAAGAAGAAGTTTTGGAGACAACACCGAGATGTCACATGGAAGGATCTATTAAATGTTTGTTTGTCTAAAAAATAAAAAACTTTAAAAAAAACCCTGGAGGTGGAGAGACGCCCTTAGTAAACTTCACAATTGTAAAGTTTATAACTGCTATTTTATACTTCAACTTCAGGATTCGTCCGCTGCCTGGTGAATTTCCCCAATACTGGTTGTGAAATTCTGGGAGTCCTTGTCTTGAAGTTTGCCCAGATGGAAAAAAAAAGTAGATCCATATCTCTGACCCATGAGCTGGATGGATGCCCAGGTTGAAAAAACTGATCTACACTGATCAACACAGGGAGTCCATGTTTTCAGGCAGAACATTTCCCCAATTCTGAGGATTGGGGAAATAATTCGAGATTCAATCTCTTTACACATTTTCTATTTTTTTTAATATGCAGTGCGTTGTACTTTGCTGCCGAGCTGGGCTTAACCAGAGGCAAAATGCCCATTTCTGCTCATAACCGATGCCTATCTCTTTCCCACGTGTATAAATAGATTTATTTTAAATCACAGTTGTTTGCCAAGAAACTCAGAAAGTTGTACACCAGATTACATTTTTTTAGGTAAAGTTGGAGACCCAAAGGTTGCACAAACCCGGCTAGGCAATTTCAGGGGCAAACAAGGAGGCGTGAACCCGGGTTGAACCCGGGCCACCTTCCAGGTTAAGACCACCGCTCCGCGAAAACAAGCCTTGTCGAACCGCCGGCGGCGGATCGTCAGATGAGCCCAAGCAGCGGCTGCAACCGACATCCCCCCCCCCACCTCCGCCTCCATCCGCGCCCCGGGGACATCCAGAGCCCGAAAAGCGAGGGAGGATAAAAAGCTTATTATGGATTTGCCCCAAGTCCGTTGCGCGGAAATCTCTCCTCTCTCCCTCCAGCCGCTGCTGCGGGATCGGGCGCGCTTCCCCCCCACCAAAAAGCTGGGGGACTGGCGAGAGGATGGCCGGACGGGTCGGTCGGTCTACTTGCTCAGCACCCCCTCCAACATTGGAAGCTTTTTAAGAAGAAATTGGACAGCCCTTGGTCTGCAATGAGGACCCAGTTTGTGGGGGCAATAAGCTGACTTTGTATAAAATATACAAAAGGATGAAGGCTATTGCTTAACGCATTGTAAGCCGCCCTGAGTCTCCGGAGAAGGGCGGCATATAAATCAAATTTTAAAAAAATGGTCTAGGGTTGGTTACAAGTAACAGTCACAGAGTTGGAAGGGACCTTGGAGGTCATCTAGTCCAACCCCCTGCTCACGCAGGAGACCTATACTGCGGGATTCGAACCGCCGACGTTTCTGATCCACAAGCTCAGCGTCTTAGCCGCTGAGCCACCTAGCCAAGCTAGGGTAGCCCGCCCGAGCAGGGGGTTAGACTAGAAGACCTCCAAGGTCCCTTTCCCAACTCTGTTATTCGGTTACACCCTGCCTCTCCCCTTGCCTACAGTCCTCCAGCCGTGCCAGATCACCGTCCCGCTGCCACGCCGGCTGGGAATTCGGCGTTTTGTGGTTCTAAATCTAAGGCATTTCCTCGGCTCCGATGACTGAGGAAAGGCTACTTCCCGGCTCTCGCCTTCCTGGAGCTTCTTGGACCTTTGACAATGCCAGAAAAAGCCCTTCCGAGCGGCTCAGCCGAGCTTTCCAGCCACCTCCACCCCGGGGCATCCGATGAGCCGACCTCCGCCCGCCTATCCCGCCGACGCATCCCTCGTCCCAACCGGAGCGATCGGATGGCGCGCCGCCGCTTTTACCGGACGCCGGGGAGGTTGCGGGGAAGCGGCTTGTAGCAGCTCTGCCCTTCGTGGAAGTAGAGGCCGGCGGCGTCCGCGGAGGCCACCAGCAGCCCCGGCAGGAGCCAGAGGGCGAGCGAGGACAGGTCGCGCCCAGCCATGACGATCACCGGCTCAGCTGGCCGTCGCCGGGAAAGGAGCGCGCGAGAGCCCGGCGGGCCTGGGCTCCTTTGTCCGGAGAGCTGAAGGGCTGCACCCAGCACTGGCGCAGAGGGGGAGCGCGGTCGCCAAAGGCCCGGGGAGGCGGCGACGTCATGGGGGTGGGGGGGACGACGAAGGGAGCAGCCGCCCCGCCTTGGCTTGCTGCAGGTGGGTTGACGGGTTTGGCCGGGATTGCGAGAGCGGGAAGCCGGTTGCGAAAGAGGAAACAATCAGGCGGCTCCTCGTGACTCGAGACTCGCCGGCGGGCTCTGGGCAGCCGCGGATCGCAGCCAAGAGGAAGGCAGAACCGTCCCATTTGGGCTCGATGGGGCCGGGGAGGGGTGTGTGTGCTGTGGGTCTGCTGTAGAGGCAAGTCCTCGATTTACAACGGTTGATTTAGTGACCGTTCGAGGTGACAACGGCACTGAAAAAAGTGACTTGGGACCGTTTCTCACACTTACGACCGTTGCAGCATTTCCCACACACACCCCCACGGTCACGTGATTTACATTGGCAAGCCTCTTTTTTTTTTTTATTTGATTTATATGCCGCCCTTCTCCGGAGTCTCAGGGCGGCTTACAATGCGCTAAGCAATAACCTTCATTCTTTTGTATATTTATACAAAGTCAGCTTATTGCCCCCACATACTGGGTCCTCATTTTACCCACCTTAGAAAGGATGGAAGGCTGAGTCAACCTTGAGCCTTGGTGAGATTCGAACCCTGCAGTAATTGCAGGCAGCTGGTCTTAATAACCAGCTTAATAACAGGGTGCCTTAGACCACTGTACTACCAAGACTCTCCGTGGTCATGGGATCAAAATGTGGACGCTGGGCAACTGGCTCGTATTTATGACCGTTTGCAGTGTCCCGGGGTCGTGGGACCATCTTTTGCAACATTCGGACCAACGGAAGTCCATGAGGAAGCCAGATTCACTTAACAACCGGGGATTACTAATTGAGCAACTGCAGTGATTCACTTAACAGATGTGGGGAGAAAAGTCGTAAAATGGGGCGAAGCTCACTTGACAGATTTCTCACCTAGCGGCATAAATTCTGGGCTCCGTTGTGGTCACAAGTTGAGGACTAGCTATATTTCAGAGCGTTCCTGGCGTTTACCTGACCTCCCCACCTGGCTTGGGGAAGGCGACTCGAAGGAAGGGCTGAAGCAGATCGACGTAGCCGTGGCCCCAGGCTGGAATTCTTGGTTAGCCTCCTGCAGGCTACAGGATAGGCCAGTGGTTCGCAAACCTGAATAAATTATTCAAAATTGTATAAAAGTGTTTTTTTCTTTAGGGACAGATGCACAAACTTTTCACCTATCGTAATAGGGACATTTTAAAAATATTAAAACTCTGTGGCAGCCCCTCAAATATTGGAAGACGGCTATCATGTCTGTCAGATATAAATGCCTTATTCTCCAATGTGTAAATAGTGTACAGACAGGGTATCAGGGGTTAACTTATTCTTCACTTCTTAATGTATTCATAATTCACCACTCCCACACATAGCTCCACCCATTGTATATATAAGGAGCTACCCACACCCTTTCCTTTGCTTCTATCTGTGAATATTCAGTGAATATAGAATGCCTAATGTAAATAAAAGAATATATAGTTAAATCTTTAACTCTTGTTGATCTTATTGAGTCTGATCCTGAAAATATTGCAACAAACTGGTAGCAGAGGATGGTTAATTGACTCAATAAAAAAGCTTTAAAATGTCTAAGAAAGATAGGCCCAACACCAGGGCCTACAGCAAAGAAATGGAAACGGAACAAGAAATAATCAACGAATCCACGAATGCAATTTCGAGAGAATCCGAAGAATACACCACTGAAGACGAAGAAATAATTGATGACCAGGAGGAAATCGAAATAGAAAATAACGAACTCAGGTCAGAGATATTAAAACTATTAAAAAGCCAGAAGAATGATGAAAGCCTCATCGCGAACCTCCAAGATATGCTGAAAAACAGCGGAGCAGCGAGAGAGAAAAACATCATCAATGAAAAACCCAAAGATCCAAAAATAGTGAGTAATATGACTGCGGAGAAAATCATTACAAAGAAGAAAAACGATGATCCCGCGCAAAAATTTGAATGGCGGCCATCTTGGTTTCAACCGGCCTCCAAGATGAACGAAGCAGAGCCAATCAGCAAGCTCAATTCAAAATTTCTGGTGCGAAAAATATTATCAGACAACGAAAACGAAAAGGAAGATTCAAACACCTCAGAAGAATCAGAACCAGAAAGCGAGGAAGATCCAACAAAACACCAAATAAATTCAGCGATGAAAACGCTCTTTGCTGCATTTGGGCCAAAACTGAAAATTACTAAAAAGACACAAAAAAAAAAAAAAGACGAAAGAGCCGATGCCTCAAGACCTGCCCGCTCCCATCCTGACTACTAGAACGCTGACGCCGGAACCCAGAGAGCCCTGCCGATACCGCCCTACGCCGCAGACCGAAGCAAGCACCAACGCTCTCAATAGAAGAAGAAGAACAGCCACCGTCACCAGAACCCCCAAAGTCGAACCAGAGACCGACTCATCTGAAGAAGAGCAGAGCGAGCAGGCGCGGTGAGGAGAACCTTCCACGACGACGCCGAAGAAGAAATGAGCAACGCGCATGCGCGAAACTACGCTGACGATCCGGGAAGACATGAACAGGAGAGAAGATCATGCAGACTCGTAGCGAGCATCCCCACGCCGTTTTGCAATTTTCTGCATTTACGAGACCACGGACTACCTCAGGTTGTAAGTAATGGACCCAATAATGTCGGAAATTTACCCAGTGACTTCCCAAAACTAAGGGTTGATGGCATTAATTTACAAGAATGGTATCAACAGCTCCAGGTTGTCTTTATGAAGGAAAACTTACTGTTTTTTATCACTAGTCCCCCAAAAAGACCTTGGACACTAAAAATAGATTGTTTACACCATAGAGCTTTTTTCTTAATAATATCTAGTGTGTCTCCTGCAATGTATCACAGCATTAAGCCAAATTTGACTGTTTCAGAAATTATTCAATGCATGTTTAATTTGTATCACAGTGACAGTGTAGCTACCACAAGGATATCTAAAGACTTCTTTTCATCTAGGATAAAACCAGGGGTTTCCATAAGTGAACATTTAATATCTTTGAACAAAATAAGAGCTGAATTGCACTTGAGGGGGGAGGTGATTTCAGACCAAACAATGAAAAGTGTTATTATCAACTCACTTGATCCATCATGGGACAATTTTATGTCACATTTAGACACAATCAATCTAGGGTATTTATCCATAGAAAGTCTATCTAACAAATTGATAACAGAAGATAATTCTAGAAGGAATCGTTCTAACAATCACACAGAACATAAACCATATAGGAAAGTAGCTTTCCAAGAAAAATATAGTGGAACATTTAAATGTCATAATTGTGGATCCAGGGAACACAATAGAAGAGATTGCCCAAAATTCTTAAAAGAAAGATATAGATCAGAATACAGAAACAAATACGATTATAGACAGCCTTCCATAGAAAGGCATAGATATAGGAGCCCACCAAATCACAGGGAGAATAGAGGGGGCAGAGACAATTCAAAGGATAGAAAGTCTGGTTCACTGAATGGATTAAATAAACAAGACAACACTAACACACAACAAAGTGAGGACAATAATTGGCTTATTGATTCTGGAGCAACTAATCACACCACTAATAACAAAAGTATATTGTCTTCATTTGCAGAAGATAAATTTGTAATTAAGGTAGCTAACCAAGAAAAGGTTCAAGTATTAGGTAGAGGAAATGTAAACTTGCCTGCCTGGTTTAGGAAAAATAGAGGGGGTATTACTAATACCTGAAATACCTCATAACATATTAAGTGCCATAAAACTAAGCAGAGATTCTGACATTAACATTGTCTTTTCAAAAGGAAAGGCAACTTTGGAAAAGAATAAAATAAATGTAGGCACTGTAGTGACTAAGGGAGGACTACCTTACCTAATAACAAAAGAAAAATGGTTACATAACATTGATTCAAATATGGAAGATTGTATTGAAATAGATGATGAGAATGTTAGCAACAGTGACAATGATGAATGTAAAATATCTCATAATCACACAGATGCACACAACGATAAGAAGCCAAAGATAGGTAAACCAATTCATGATGAGTGTGCTCACATATTGCATAGGAAGTTAGGACATGCCAGTTTTCCTGTAGTGCAAAAAATGACTGAACACGCAGAAGGTGTTAAAATAAAAAATTGTGAAAATTATCTGGAATGCTCAGTATGTAAATCTACAAAACTAAAAACTAGTCCCAGGCCAAGAAAATCTACCAGATCAACTAACAAATTTTTGATTTAGTACACATGGACTTAGTTGGTCCATTAACTCCATCAATCACTTATAGGAAACGTTTACTTCCTGACAATAGTGGACGATTATAGCCGCTATGGATTTGTTTACACATTAAAACACAAAGATGAAACATTTCAAAAATTTAAAGAATTTTACAAACGCATAGAAACACAACACAACATCAAAATAAAACAAATTATGACAGATAGAGGATGCGAATTCATGTCTAAAGAATTCTCACAATGATTAAAAGACAAAGGAATGTTACATTACACATCTAGTCCATTTTCTCCGTTCCAAAACGGGATTGCAGAGAGGAAAAATTCCACATTACAAACCATGATTAGATGCACATTAGAAGATGCTGGCTTAAGCAAACAATTCTGGTCAGAAGCCTTACATTATTCAAATTACACACAAAATAGAACATGGTCCAGCATTATAAATAAGACACCATATGAAGTGATGTATAATAGAAAACCAAAATTAGCACACATGCATATATTTGGAGTCACAGCAGACGTACACATACCTAAACAATTAAGAAGAAGGGAGAAAATGTGTCCAGGAGACTCAGATTTATGGGATATGAGACTGGCACTAAAGGATACAGATTCATTGATAGTAACAACAAATTTATAGTCTCCAGAACAGCTGTGTTCCATGAACAAGCTAACTGGTCTAAATTACATCTTAATGAGATATTCCCAAATAAACATGAAGATATGAAATCCCATGAGAAAGGGACTATAGAAAAACAAAATATCAACAAATATAAAAACAAAACCAAAACTTG